TAGAGTAGGCATAATTATTATTCTCTGCAAAATCACCCTCTATTATATCACAAATCTTTCTCCTTAGCCTATTCAAAACGATTACTTTCTAGGTCGAGGAAATATTTCTTCGATAGATGGCATGGAATTGTGAAAGTTGGATGCTCTTAATTAGTTATGCTATGTATGTGGTATCTATGGTATCTAGGTCATTCTTCTAAGGAATATGTGATGATTAATGAGTAGGACCCACATAGATTGACTGACTTAACCCTCAAGATTGGATTCGATTGGAGTTAGGTGGGTTGACCATCCATCAGCATTCAGCGCAAAGGTGAGAGTCGTGGAAACAATACTCTCTTTCTCACGTAATTAAGGGGAAGGAATGAGAAGAGGGCCATGCAAGGCTTCAGCAGACGTGTCATGCCCGAGTTGCTTTCCCTTTGGAAAAACACTACTACGGCTGGAGGTCAATGTATTAGGTTATAACTTTGACAAATATTTCTTACCCGAAAAAGCAAAAGAGTATTGTTTCCCTTTGATTGGGGTAATTTGGTAGAGCTTTAAGAACGCAAAAGTTGCTTCATTCTCACTGCTTTTTGTCATATGCAATATCATAACAAATCTAGCGGACAATAGTCAATTGCAAAACTACGTTAGTTGCCTAGAAGAAAAAGATGGCTTCCTATATATATATATATTTATATTACTTGCGCACAAAATGAAAATATATAAATCCTATACCTTTTGTATTGTCCCGTCCCACATATAGAGGTCACTTACATTCACCTAGCTCGCTAGTAGCTACAACTAGAAACAATTTCAAATCTCTGGTGAAAGAGACGTTTGCTAAGCATGTCTTATATGAAGTTTGTCTCTAATTGTTCGCCCCAACACTATGAGGGGAAGGAAAGGAACTACTACTACTACTCCTACTCTTTGAGGCGAGCATTTGAGAGAGAGCTAGCTGATGCACAGACAACGCATAATAGACAAAACTAGTTTGAAATAAGTTCAATTCAAATATTATAGAATTTGACTGCTCTAGAATCATGTGGGGACTGCAAAATGCATGCACACCACACGGCACACGCACATCAAATGAACACATTCTACACTCTACTGCAGAAGCAATTGAGAATTTTAAAAAAGGTTGATGTCCTTGTCTTATTTCACTTTTGTCATCTGTGTTTGAAAAAAAAAAAAAAAAAAAAAACAAAAAGAAATATAGGGGAATAAGGAATGAAAACACTGCAGGCCAGGTTAGGTTGATAAATAATTATAGTGGAGATATATCATATTATTAATTTAATCTGAGAGAGGGTGTGGACTCTGGGAAATGAAGAAAGATTGAGCAAGGGTTCCCCACCCTATTGACTTTTGAAGCTCAAGGCATGGAATTAGGTGGAAAGTTTGAATAATTGTGTTGTTTTAGTTTTCCATTGATCAACTTTTTGCTTACCTTTTTGGCAATACTAGTGCATGCATCATGCATGCTCCACATCTCCAGATCACGATGTCAACCACAAGAAACAACCATGACCAATCTTCTTGATGATGATTTGTTACGGTGGGGGTTTGATCATGATTAAGATGACTTCACGCACGAACAGACGATTGACATTCTCATGAAACGCATTGTATTCGTTCATGTTTTTGACATGAGATAAGACATTTATCATATACGAAATCTTACGATGCACGAAAGTCCTTGAGGTTTGAAGACTTTTCCCTTGATTGACAACAACTTAACATGGATATGGCTGACCTGCACTGCACCCAGCATAATTTATTCACTTTCAAATTCATACGATACGACCGACAGTAGTGAATTTTCTATGTTAAAGGGTCAAGGGGGCAACCAAGTAGTACTGCTTTGCCAATTGTTATTTCCTCCCTCCTTGAATACGTACTTAGGGCTTAATTATTTGTGGATTATGTTGTTCCTCTGTTCAAGTTGAATACATCGTACAAGAATGAAATCATAGTCGTATTATATGTGTTAGTAAGTTGGCACCGGCCAGCTGAGAGAGAGAGAGAGAGAGAGAGGCTTGATTTAGGATTTCCTTTTGAGATGATGGAGAGGTCAAACATAGCAGCGTTACTTACTAATTTGTCTGCCTACAATGTATATGATAGAAACAACTTGGGTTATTCTTTCTTTGTCCTTATACATTCGGGGCGCCCAGTAATACCAATTTTATATTCTTAATCTTGTTTTTTTGGTTGGACATGTCTGAGGGAATTTGTGATGATTAAAGAAAGTTGGGCCCACGCTGTGAGCCTCTCCTCTATCGAGTCTCGACCAATATTGGATCATTAGGTGCTTGCTTGACTACTTGAATATTATAAACTTTTATTTTCTTTTGCGTATTAGATTGTATTTTTGCTTTTACCAGACATTATTACTTGTTTCCACAAGTCATGCACGTAAACTGCCATGCAAGCCACATCACCGGATAGCTGACACGTGGAAAATACTCACTTCCATTCCATTCCGGCTGTAATTGATGGATTTATGAAAACTTTAGGGATTATAATCAAATTCCAATTTGGATTCGTATAAAATGCCCCACAACACCACAACCACAACTCAATCAATTTGTTTTGAACTGACTATTATCATGAATGTTAGAGAAATTTTGGTTCGGATTAATCAATTTAACTGGATATGTATACCCTTCTTGATAGCCCAAAGTTTGGTCATCGAAACAGTCTAAAAACTCAACACCCAACATTTGGGCTATCAACGTATCCAGTTAAAGATTTGAATGGGCTAAACTCAACTATCAGCCCAAAATAGCTCTTTCCAAAAAGTACGTTAACTTTAAAACCACAGCTCGCTCACCGGCCCATAACCATTCCTGATCCAATGAGCCCAATTGAAGACTGTTTAAGCTGACCCAAAACAGTTTGTATATGCATTTTCTACACTAAGAAGAGCAAGAACATGTAATTATCTTTACGGAAAGTCACAATACAAATGCCAAGCAAGCAATGAGGAACTTAAATTTATTTCAATGTTGCAGAACTGAGAAAAGAACAGGACTCAGTCTAACATTTATCTCAGTACATAAGAGTCCCAAGAAATTTCTCATCAGTAGCGGTAAAAAGCTTCAAAACATGCACACCTCACAAATTTGAGCTTCCTGTTAGAAATTTAAACCACAGTTAATAGGCAGAACCGATAAAACGGCAAGTAAGGAAACTCAACGAACCAAGGCAAGACAGATAAAAGTAAAACTTCCTGTCATGTCAGGTCATAAGCTGACTGCTGCAAAAAATTATAACTGGGGAGCATTGCTTACTGAAAGCAACATGCCAACAACAGAAACTGAAGTAGGTAAATTTCTCAAGACACTTCTACTCTTTACTTCCATATGAAAATGTCATCAAAACAATTACTTATGAAACAAAGGACTCGCTGGTTATGAGTGCGTGCATATTTATTGTACACATGTACTTTGTTATGGTGTGATCTTTATAACTACTTTCTCAGAAACTGCTCCATCAGAGTTTTCTATTTCTTGTCCCAAAAAAGGTATCAAAATGACGATAAGTTTTTATTTGGCTGAACTTTTCAGCATGATGAGATTTTGAAATTTCTGATTTCCCAATTTGGGTACTAGTTTTCTTTGGCTGGAAAAAACAGAGAGAAGAGGGTTTATAGATCAGCAAGAGAGCAAAATGAAAAGAAAAGAAAAACCAGAAACCCAGATTGTCTGTTTCTCAAGTTTTCCTTCATCTTCTTGATAACAAATAAATAATTCCAGTTTAAACAGACAACTCTCTCAACCTAATGCACGATGCACGAGATACATGAACGCAGACTGCCAGATATATATGCCAGACAAATCTCTCTTCTATTCTCTCCTCTTGCATTTGATCAATGGGAAGAAAAGCCTCTTGATGGACTACTTAAGGTGAATTACCCTCACACACTAACATATCTGAAATGCCCTTGCATTATATTTTCTCTACCACACAATCCTTAAGCTTCATGTGACGCAACCTAGGCATCCTATCAGCAATGTTAAATCATGCGAGGATAGGATACTGTAGATGATGTGCAAAGGAACAACAATGTTATAGTCAAAATAGTTGTGATCTTATCCTTCTGTCGAAGTCCACAAATATATACCTCACACGACATGAAGCAACTTGGGATTAAATGACATTTAATTAACCTACCATCATAGCTCAACCTCTCATATGTAAGATTTGCACGTAAGAATTCTACAACTGAATGCACCATACAAAAGATATATGAATGACTTTACCACAGACCAGAAGAAAAGCAAAAAGACGTCTCCATAACTCAAACTAAATGAGTAATCACTTTTTCCATAACCTAACAAATAATAAGACGTATCAAGTTGAATCCATATTATTTCAGCGATGAGTAAAAGTTGCCAGTTACCACACCTCAAACCCAAAAAAATCCCTCCAACCAGTTCATACATATCCTCCCAGGTTTTTCTTCTAATGGCCTCTCTGATTAGAAATCACAGGAGTACAATTGTGAAACTAAAAGTGAAACAATCATGTTCAGGTCAACTGTAACCTTGCTATGCAGTAAGTATTTTGGGACAAGCCCATATACATATCAAGTGCATTGTTTACAACATTCAACAACCTGAACACCCAGCAAGGAAGTTCATATAATCCACATAACTAAGACTCCTTCAATGATCTAAACCAAATGGCCACTAAATAAGGATGACAGTACTAAAGATGATAATGATTTTTTAATTACAGGGATTTAAACCTAACAAACCCCATAAACAAAAACCTATATTTCTCTTAGAATACCAACTACAATTGCGAGCACATCAACACAAACCCTATGTTACCATAATCGACCCCAAAACTCCCCAACTGCATCCCCAAAACACACAATTGAAGAATTAACAACAAACCCATGAATCACCGAATCAAAAATTCAAATAAAAAAGGGCAAAAGTTAGAAAATAGAAGCAGACGAATCAATTAGTGAATTACCAAATAATGGAATGTGGGTTCTATGCGTTGGCAGTGTTTGGAATGAGAGGAATTGACTGTCCCTTCTTCTTGGTCTGCTTTAACTTGGCCTCTTCTTCACGGATCTTCTGCATCTGGAGCATTCTCTCCATAACGAGTTCGTACTCGCACTTCTCGTACGAGTGGCGTTCGTTCTCACACTTCCATGGGAGGTAGAACTCAGCCTGCCTGCACTTGTTCAGAGGGATGAGCAAGTGGGCGCACTGATCTCTGTAGGGCAGCGGCACCCGAGCCTCCACCATCTCTGCCTGGGTCGCTATCATCTTCTTCGACGTTCCCTCAGCTGCCATTCCTTGAAAATTAAGTCCTTTTTGGTTCTGGGTGTTCAGAGTTTGGTGGCTCTGATGGCGTGTACGACGGCTTTCAGTGTCGGGGTGTTCAAGGTCGTTCCGTTTAAGTGTGCGGATTCGTATTTAGTTACCATAATCCACCATATCAACACCTTTCATTCTTGGTTTGTTTGTTTGTTTGTTTGTTTTTTTGGGAGTCAATGAAGAGATTTTGATTTTTTTTTGGGTGCATTGGGCTGAAGTCATGAGCTAAGTTATCGAGGGAAAAGCCCAAAATTTTGTTTGTTTTTGGGCTGGTAAATCCATCAAAACGAAGGGTCCATTCGGGATTTGAGTTTAGACAATGTTCCAAAGCAAGAAGAAGAAGAAAAGAAAAAAATATGGTAAAAAACTGCACAGATTATGGGTTTGGAAGTAGTTGCAAGGAATGAAAAGTGTGGAGCATTCCAAAGAGCACTGCTCAACTTCTTTAGCTTTACCCCAACTTTTGGACATTGTTTAATCCTTATGGCAGTTCAACTTCCATTATATACCATCAAGGTGTCGATAGACGACAACATTCGAGGTACTAAAAATGGATCCATCAATTCCAATGCATGATGAAGAAGAAGCCCAGAGGCTGCCTCCAAAGAGGTTAGCTAACAAACTTTAAGCCAAATTCCTAGTTAGCTGCTTAAGGACGATATGATATCTAACGTTTTTGTGTTATTGTATGCTTTTTGTTAGGTTGGTGAACAAAGTGGCAGTCATAACTGGGGGTGCAAGAGGGATTGGAGCTGCCACAGCCAAGCTGTTTGCCGATCACGGTGCCCACGTTGTCATTGCTGACATACTTGACGACTTGGGAGCCACACTAGCTGATTCTATCGGAGGCCGCTACATACACTGTGATGTGGCAAAGGAAGCTGATATTGAATCAGCTATTGAGCTTGCGCTCAAATGGAAAGGTCGACTCGACATCATGTTCAACAATGCTGGCGTTCCTGGTCCCTCGGGGAGCATAACCAGCCTTGACATGGAGAATGTGAAGCAACTCCTCTCCGTCAATGTTTTTGGCGTTATACATGGAATCAAGTATGCTGCTGCCGCCATGATCAAGGGCCGAATAGGAGGGAGCATCCTTTGCACATCGAGCTCGGCAGCTATCATGGGAGGCCTTGGAGGACATGCCTATACGCTGTCCAAGGAGGCCATCAACGGCCTGGTGAGAAGCGCCGCTTGTGAGTTGGGAGTGCATGGCATTCGTGTGAACTGCATTTCGCCTCATGGGGTTCCTTCAGAGATGCTCGTCAGTGCCTACAGAGAGCATCTCGGGAAAATGGATATGAAGGCTGAAGACGTAAGCAAAATTGTAGGGGAAAGGGGGAGCTTGTTGCGTGGGAGATGTGCAACTGTGGAAGATGTAGCAGAAGCTGCATTGTTCGTAGCCAGTGAAGACGCTGGCTTCATAACAGCACATAATCTAGTTCTTGATGGGGGTTATACTTCTGCTTGCAGTACCATGAGCTTCATCTACCAAAATGGTCATTAACGTACCATTCAATGAAATGTTCATGGAGCCTCCTTGGAATATCTTCCATCAAAACACGCAGGATTTCAATTTCTTACATCTTTCAATTCCATTTCAAACCTCCAAACTTTTATACCCCCGCCTACTCCTCGAATGAATAGACAACTGAAGCTACTTCATGAATAAAACTTGTGTTTATGCCATGCTTATCTAATATTCAAATACGAATTCTATCTTTTGCATGTACGTTATCAAGACAACACAATAAGCAATACCATTATGCTTCAAATTGCTTCTCTACCATCAAATTCAAAAACTGCTTCTCTAATATCAAACTGAAACTGCTACTCATATCAGCTGTCTTGTTTTTCTCTCGTTTCTCCTACTTGCTAAAACTATAATTCAAATTCAAATTCAAATTCAAATTCAAATCGGATAAGTTATTGGAACGACTAGAAGGATGAATATGATCATCTCATCTAAAGAATCTTCTACAAAACTGTTTTTCTTCCAACAACAGGCAGACACAGAACATGGTTGTTTAATCACAATACCAGAACTACAGAAATAATTGCTGGAAACAGCAGGTTTGGAAAAGGGCGAAATAGCTTTTCCAGCACGCTCCAAAGTGAGAATTGATATCAAAGTATGCTGCAAACTTAAATCTTGATGTTGAAGTAATCCGAGTCAAAGTGATGTAGACGTACGTAACCATCCTCACCTCCACTTGAGAAACTGAGAGTTACAAAATACAATAAAATAAACAAATAGTTACAAAAACAAAAATACATTAATGCTAAAACACTTCTGATTAAAGAAACATGAATTTCCTATCCAAGACAATTTTCTCAATGCATATGGGCAGAAAATAACCCACTCATCAGTTGAGAAACATTGATACCATTATACCTACCACATAAATTAAACTCTAGCACCTTTTTATAGACTTTTAACCAGGTACATATGCCAGATAGCATGTATAAAAGTTATGCACAATTTCATCTCGGTTTTATAGTTAAAATAACTTTTGTAGCTAAACAAATTGTTCATGTACAAATATATCACAATGAGTACTTAAAATGCAGTCCAATTCTAATTAAGAAGCCTTTACTCCTTATGTATTCAGGAAACCAACAAAAGCAGTTATGGGATTGAACTGTACCTTTTTCCATCAGGATTGAAAGCCAAAGCATTTATGGGTCCAAAATGCCCTTTAACACCTCCAATCTCTTCTTGAAGAACCTATACATATGTCGTTGGAAAAAAAAATCATGTACTGAAGTGACAACAACCTACTACAAAAAATATAAACAAAATTAGTAAGGTTTACCTTGTCATAGAATTTGGCTTCAAATTTTCCAGCACGATGATCAGTTGTGGTGACAGCTGATGCATCCTGACCACCACCAAGTACCACCTGCACAGCACATAAGGAATTTTGTTTTGAGAAAAAAGATGAAGACTTTTATAATGAACAAGGAAAAACAGTGCATAAACAAGAGATATAAAGGAACTAAATGTCTTCACTCTATAGCAAGCATAATCCATTCATCAAATTTAAAACTGGAAACTAAACACGCAAATTATTGAGTCAAAACAAGTTGACAAGCTAATGAGACGGATCTTTTTCAGAAAATGGAAAGGAAAACAAGAAGATGACAATTTAACGAATATCAGAAGCTTGTAAAAAAAAATAGATTACAATGACATACATGATCGAGAAGAGGAGACATTGCAACGGCATTGACTGGACGCTCCGTCACGTAGGTCTTGATAAGCGTCAACGTTCTAATATCCCAAAGCTGAAAAATTTGCAGCAGAAGACACAAAATCAGTAAAAATACAGAAGCTACAACTCAATACAAACAAAAAGAAGAAGTTTATTCGTACCTTGGCAGATTTATCTAGCGAGCCAGTGAGGAAATGCGAACCATCAACAGATTTTGCAAGTGATGTTATCGTCTTTTTGTGACCCACTTCCTTATCGTTCTCCTTAAGTAGTTTGCCAGTCTGCAAATTGGAAAGAATGGAAAACAAAACTTAAAGCCAATAAAAGAAAAGCTTCCGAATTTCCAATGCAAGCATAGCCAATAGTCACCTCCGAGTCCCAAATACGAATAACAGCGTCTTCTCCGGCGCTTATGATGGTTCTGTTCAAAGGCCCCCAAACAGCCCTGTTAATTCTTCCCTGAGGTCCCTTGAGTATCAGAGCCGACTCACCAACCTCTGAAAATATTGAAACCACCAAGTACTCAGTATTCAATTATTATGTAAAACATAAAAAGCTAAAAAGAGGGCAAGGAAGAGAAGGTTACGATCTGCGGGGTCGTTGGCGATGCGCTTGACGTGAATCGCAGAAGAGAGCTCCATGAAGGGGTCTGTGGTTATGACTGCGAGCCTATCGCCGACTGAGAAATCAACCGCCCTCGCCGGAGAGTCAAAATTAAAGGTGAATAGCTGCTGACCGGTCTGAACGTTCCACAGCTTGGCGGTCTGATCGGCGCTGCCGGTGATGAGGCGCGCGGAGTCTCTGGAAACATCGCAGCACCAAACGGCACCGTTGTGCCCACGGTAGGTGCCGAGGCGCTCCCCATTGTCGGCGAACCAGACCGTCGGGTTATGGTCCTTCGCGCAGGAGAAAAGGAGGTCTCCGTCCCTGTTGTATTTGAGGAAAGTTAAGGGCCTCTCATGCCCTTTCATCAGAATCGGCCTCATGTTTGGAGTCGGAGCAACAACGAATCGACGAGATTGCTAGTGAAGAACTGCTGTGGTGACACCCAACGGAGGCAGATGCAGAGGTAGAGTTTTGGAAAGGCGAAAGAAGATTTTAGGTTAAGCCACATATGTGGGTTGGGCAAATGGGTGTGGGTACACCCAGGCCCATTATATAGTTAAAGGGTTTTTACTTCTAGATTCAGAATTATAGGCCCAATGGGCCTCTCCAAAATATCATGTCCAAAAGAAAGGAGTAGTGTTGTTGTTTTTCTTTTCCCAAATACAAGCAATATGCGGTGAGGGGGAAATCGAATACAGGACTTAGACGTCGTTAGCACTTGAGCCAGTATCGCTTTTTGGAAAAAAGAAAAATATTTACAATCACACTTCATGCTTTTGATAAAAAGAGAAAACAAAGGGAGACTTTAATGCTGAAAGAATGATGGTAGAGAAATTACTTAACCATCGTCAATGTAGATACAGCATTCTTTTACAACAATAGTTGTAATTGTAAGCAATTGTTTCCAGAAATAATGCCACATTGGAAACTTGTTACATATCAAACTTCTATTTATAATGATAATATAGGAAACAATCCCTTGGTGAGAAGAGATCTTAAGTTGAAAGAATGCCTTGTTGAGATCTTAAGCAGCAGCAGCCTTCTTCTCTTTGTAGTTTCTGGAAAAGACCATGTACACCACCAAATTTAAGAAGCTGAGTCCAGCTAAAAGCCAGTAGAAATAATCAAGATGGCCTTCATTCAAGTTATCTGGAATCCATCCAGCCTTCCCACCCTTTGTTGTGATGTAAGTTACAATTGTCAGAATGAGAGAGCTGAGGTAATTCCCCAGTGAATTTGTGAGAAGAGACAACGCACTGCACAAACTCCTCATGGCATCTGGAGCTTGCTCATAGTAGAACTCATGCTGTCCAATGAACGTAAAAACTTCCGCAGCGCCCAACAAGAAGTACTGGGGAATTTGCCAAAGTATACTAAGCGGTACAGCAACCTTTTCGTCTTCCAATCCAAGCTCCGTGACAAGCTGCAATCGCTTAATCTCTACCAATGCAGCAGCTGCCATACATAGAATCGATACAAACAACCCAATTCCCATCCGTTGCAACTGCGAGAAGCCCCCCTCCTTGCTTGTAAACTTTTTAACGACTGGGATGATTATGCTATCGTAGATGGGGACCCAGATAATAACACTTATGAAATCAAAAAATGAAAGAGATGCTGCAGGAATGGTGACAGAACCCAGAGTTCTTTTCATCAGCTTCCCTTGTACCACAAATAGTGTGGACATTTGGGCAAACACAGCAGAAAACACAATTCCTGTTGCCCATATTGGAAACATGCGGATCAAAATCTTCAGTTCCTCCACCTGTGTAACGGTACAAAGCCTCCATGGATTACACAAGTCCCCATGTTCAATGTCAGCATTTGATATCACGGCAGCTTTATCAAGGCACCTGCAGCAAAGACATGGTAATTAATTCTACAAAGCAATGCTATGTGAAATGTGCAGCAGAATATTGCAACCAAAACCTGGACAATGAAGAGAAGAAGACTACCTTAGCTCATTGCTGTGCTCCAGTTTACGACTCCCTTCAATGGCAGAGCTTCTGTCTTGTGTTTCATGAAGGAGACTGTTGTCCTCAAGCACCTTTAGATTCCTTTTGCGGAATGATGCAACCAAAACTTGGCATATTCTTGTTAGAGGGCTTCCGCCTGGTTTCTGAAATCGATATAGAGGTGTGCCTATCAATAAACTTGCAATACAAACACCCATAAGCGCTGTAGGAATTCCAAATCCAATTCCCCAACCAACATTGTCCTGAATCCACACCAGTACACTGCTTGCTATAATAGCACCAATGTTTTGAGAAAAGTAAAACCAGTTGAAATAGGATCCCTTCTTCACCCTTTCCTTGTGATCGGTATCATCAAACTGGTCCGCCCCAAAAGGCCATATACAAGGTTTGATCCCGCCGGTCCCTAATGCAATCAGATATAGTCCAGTGAGGAACACTGCATATTGTGCAGTAGTAGCTGAAGGACATACAGAACCAACACATTCAGCAGGCTTCAGTGCTGAGACGGATGCTGAGAGAGTCAGTGTACACATTCCCTGCATGAAATCACAGTTGTTCAACATTTGAGTGAAGATTTATAAAAGTGCATATACATAGAAGCAATCAGTAAAAATGAGATGATAAAGGAGGCAGTCTGACATATCATTTCCCTCAATAAATCTTGCAAACCTTCCGTGAGCTGATCCATTGATCTGCTAATATTTACACGTGTATGTACAGAAACACAAAATGATCAGCTAATACTTACAATTAAGTAGACTGTGGTGAAACCAGCAATTGTCCAATATCTTCCCCAATAAGTATCAGCTAAGATGGCCCCAATGAGGGGTGTAATATAGCAAGTTCCTTTCCAATTAGTAATATTTGTTGAAGCAACAACAGTTTTTTCGTGTAGTTTCTCGATGAAATAGTTGACAAGATTGGTAGAAATCCCATAGAAGGCCAAGCGTTCGCAGAAAAAGGTACCTGTATTTTATCTTACAACTGTTAGAAACAGAAGAGATCTTGGAGAGATAAGAGCAATGTTGAAGACAATATATCACCAAGAATGAAGGAACATGCTTTCCACTGTCCAGTATCATTTTTGAGAGCAGGCTTCCCCTTTGAGTCAACTGAACCATCTCCGGCGTAGAGGCCACTGCCTTCATTCTGAAGACATAATATAAAATATCACATGGATAAAACAAAAAATGGTCAGAATCCAAAGGACAAACAAAAGCAGGAAAGAAAAATGTTACCAATGTGGAACTCAATAGAAGCGGGGTGTCAACAACCTGACTGAAATTGCAATGGCTATAGTATTCCATCACAAATTAGTGACATTCAGGGATACAAATTGATGATGTCACTGCCGGAGGGAGTGAAAAAGTTATTCAGTCCCAACTTTTAACGTTTATGGCTATGAGTATAGACCGGTTTTTATGAGTATCAACTCAAAGATGAGTGGGAATGGAATCAAAGAAAATATAGACTTTACAGAGATGCCACGCTCTGCCTCTGCTGCTAGACTTTACAAGGGATAAATATTTCTTACATTATAACATGATGCATGCAGCATACCCAACCCAATCAACCAAGATAGCAAAAAACAAAAAGTCAAACTTTTTTGTTTATAAATTATAAAATTTTATGATACACCAGCAGAGTGAGATAACAATTTCAAAGGAAATGAGTAAGGATGAAATCAGGCCACGCTAACATACAGAATATACAAGTCAGAGCATAGGAAGAGGTAGAACCTGAAAAATATTAGCTTCCAAAAGTGCTCTTTCATCATCCTCAGAACCCATCTTCTCTTCCCCTCTATCTCTCTTTCTTTCTCTTTCCTCGTTTCAGATTTCTAATGTCCACAGATTCGAAAAACATATCAGATAAAAATCAACTTTCGTTTTTGCTTGTTAAATTTTTGGAGTAAATAAGAATCAGATTTCTGTTGTTGTGATTTGTTCAAGTAAATATGGATGATAGAGTATGACGTTGACTAAAGGCCCCAATTCCACTATCATTCGTTGATTCAAGATGACCAGCATTTAAGCTCAAACTAAAACTAATAAAATAACCAATAAGACAAATCATCTTTATCATTTCGACTAATGGGGCAAAACAGTAGTGTGATTAATGAAGACGTATCGGATTAATCCAATCAATGTCATGTGTTCTGTTATCGTGTTCTACTTTGGGCATTCATTGGCGACTTATCAAACGACTGATGAGAAGAAAAGAAACTCAGAAAGCATAGCATGGTTGATGGATGGGTTGTCATGCGAGACCCGTCTTGAAATGGAACTTTGGAGGAGTTTGACGCATAAACAGATTGGATATTTTGTTGTTTGTTTGTTGGCCTTAAAAACAAGTATGCAAAGCTCCAATAAACTTGGGAATTGAGGTTGAGACCCACTCATGCCATACGATCCGACGCCATGGTACCGAACAGAGACGACACATAATCTATCAGGCCAAAAATCTAAGCAAGAAAAAGAAGCGGAACACACATTCTCTTGTTTATAATCTCAATTGACTTATAAGAAAAATGCACAGCTTGTAGTGTAGTGGGTTATTTACAAAAGTATCAAAGACATAATGATTTTTACAGATTGCTTCAGCACCATCAAACGGGAAAACATTACACATCACTTCAGTTTCTTCCCTTTATCGTTTAAAGAAATGCAAAGGGCCTCCTGGAAAAGCCTTAAGAAGCCTTCTTCTTTTTGTACCTCATGGCACACACTATGTACACCAACATATTCAAGAGGCTGAGTCCTGCTAAGAGCCAGAAAAAATAATCCAAATGGCCTTCATTCAAGTTGTCTGGTATCCATCCGGCCTTCCCGCCCTGTGTTGTGAAGTAAGTCACGATTGTCAGAATCAAAGAGCTCAGATAGTTTCCCAATGAAGTCGTCAGAAGCGACAATGCACTGCACAAACTCCGCATTGCATCTGGAGATTGGTCATAGAAGAACTCCAGCTGCCCAATGAATGTGAAAATCTCTGCAGCACCCAACAAGAAATATTGAGGTATTTGCCAAAAGATACTGAGCGGTACAGCTACCTCTTTGTCAACTAAACCAAGCTCTCTTGCAAGCTGCAATCGTTTCATCTCTACCAAGGCAGCAGCCGACATGCATAGCACTGACAGAAAGAGACCAATACCCATCCGCTGCAACTCTGAGAAACCCCTTTCTTTACCGGTAAATTTCCTAGCAATCGGGACAATAAACCTGTCATAAATGGGGACCCAGAAAATAACACTGATGACATCAAAAGATGAGAGGGAGGCTGGGGGAATGGTGAAAGACCCAACAGATGTGTCCATCATCATCCCTTGTTCCACAAACATAGTCGCCATTTGGGCATAAACAGCAGAAAAGACAATTCCAGTAGCCCAGATTGGAAACATTCGTATTAAAATCTTCAACTCCTCCACTTGTGTTACAGTGCAAATCCTCCATGGATTGGAGAAGTCCCCAGTTTTGGTCTCAGTTTCTGATATCACAGCAGCTTTATCAAGACAACTGCAGCAAAAACAAAGTTCATAAATTTTTAAGAAAGTTTGATTATAAGGTTGAGTTATTCAAGAAAAATATAATTTAAACGTTCAGAACATTACTTCAGTTCATCACTGTGCTCCAGCTTACGACTTCCTTTAATGGCAGAGCCTTTATCTTGTGTTTCATACAGGAGACTGCTGTCTCTAGGGACATCCAAATTCCACTTACGAAATGATGCAACCAAAACCTGGCACATTCTTGTAAGAGGGCTTCCCCCCGGTTTCTGAAATCTATAGAGGGGTGTGCCAGAAAAGAAACTAGCAATAGCAATGCCCATAAACAATGCAGGAATACCAAAACCTAATCCCCACCCAGCATTGTCTTGAACCCAGACTATTAGAGTACTCGATATTAGAGCACCAATGTTGATAGAAAAGTAAAACCAGTTGAAGAAGGATCCCTTCTTTACTCTTTCCCTAGAATCAGTATCATCAAACTGATCAGCCCCAAAGGACGAAACACATGGCTTGATCCCACCAGTCCCTAGAGCAATCAGATAGAGCCCAAAGAAGAATACTCCATACTGTGCCGGACTAGCTGAAGGACATACTGAATCCACACATTGGGGAGGCTTCAGTGCAGGAACTGATGCCGAGAGAGTCAAAGTACACATCCCCTACACCAAATAATAATCAGTGAAAGAATCTGTAAATAACCATTGATGATCCAACAGAAGCAACAGGTCAAGTGTACGAGACAAAATTCTTCCATGCACCAAAAAATGGGAAGAAAAACAAAAATTTAAGATGTATTTACAATGAAGTAAATGGTGGAGAAAATAGCAATTGTCCAATATCTCCCCCAGTAAGCATCTGCTAGGACAGCTCCAATTAGAGGTGTGAGATAGCAAGTGCCCGACCAAGTTGTAACATTTCTTGCTGCAGACACATTTCCTTCGTGCAATTTGTTTGTGAGATATGTAACCAGGTTAGTGGCAATCCCATAGAAGGCCAAACGTTCACAACATTCAGTACCTGTAATGTATATTATCAAAGGTATTAAAACTTAGTCCATAAGGCAATGCACAAGACAACAGGTATGTAAAGAGCAAAAGATCACCTAGAATGAAGGGGCACGCTCTCCAATTTCCAGTACTTTGCTTAAGAACAGGCTTCCCGTTAACGTCAACTGAACCGTCTCCAGTGTACAGTCCGTTGCTTTCATCCTGAAGATGCAATCATGTGAATAATGTTACATGTGTTGGAACCGTTAACATATAAATAAATGTGGAAGAAAATCCTTTAAAAGGAAAGAGAAGTACGCTGCAGTGTAAATGTCTTGTACCCAGTTAAATTCAGATAATTAAACTTAAGCAGACACCTGATTCAATAATAACTTTCCCAGATACAAATTGACTCAAGGTCAAACCTTTCCCAGATTCTCAGTCTAAAAATTCGCTCTAATGAACAAACTCAAACTAGATTAGAGGCATCTTTGTAATTGAATGTCAGTTAAAAGAAAACTGGAATAGGTCATGAGCCAAACCATCCTCAAAACCCCTAAACTAAAAGGAGAAACATGTTTAACAAGAAACCCAATTCGTGCCCAAAATAATCCTCAATTAATTCACATCAAAGACCAAATTTTGAAGCCTAATCAATAAAACAGATTCAAAGGACAAAACTTTAATACGAAATAGAGACAGCTAAGAGAGATGAAGAGAGAGAGTAAGAACCTGAATAAGACCATCTTCCAAGAGCGATCTTTCCTCAAGAGAACCCATCTCTCGTCTGTCTCTCTGAAAATGCAATTACGCAATAGAAATAGAAATGAAAAGAGTTTTCAACATTAAGTCACGAAAAAGAGAGCACATGATATTATTTTTCCACCTTGGAAATCGGAATAGGATTAGACCAGATGACACGCGTATGGGCCAAGGGCAAGGTATCGTGTGTGGTGACGTAGAAGGAACAGAACCTTGGGAGTTGGGAGTTGGGATTGGGAAGGAGACGTAAACGTCCAGGTTTTTTGTTTGAATTTGAGCAGCGAAGGAAGAAAGAAAGAGGGTAGTTTTCAACAACTTTGCGAGTCATTGTTAGCTGTTCGCTATCAGACAAAAAAGAGTTAGGCCGTGAATTTTACATTGATACCCTTTTGTTCTTTTTAAATATTAACAATAGGTTGCTTAACAGAGAAGAGTTTGGGTACCCAGGAGGACTCCCTCGCTGGGCTCTTTTGTGAGGATTGGGCTGGGCATTTCCAGCCCAGATTAGTTAGTCATATTGGGCCCAAGGCCCATATAAAGATTTATCTCAAAAGAGTGTTTCACACAGCATGAAACGTGGTAAATAGCTATTGGGGAATTGGCATGACCGGTTGCTCCTAGTTGTCGGTTTCTATCCGCGCGAATTAGATTCGCCGCGTCCCCCCCCCTCTCTCTTCATCCAAGAAGAGAAATTGAAAAAGGTGGGTCCACCGGCTGTATGACCCAGTTGCCGGTTTCTGGTCTCCAGTCCACTTCCCTCTTCAAACCGTCGGCTTTCACTTCCTTCCTTGCATCTCATTCTCTTGCTTTCTGTGGGTTAATGCCCTACGTAGAATTTGGCGGTCTTTAATTTATTCCTTACCCCGGTAAAGCACATTCTCATTATTGAAAAGAAAAAGAATGGGTAAAATTAATGAACAAGGCAAGAAAATCAAATATGACAATTAAATGAAGTGACAATTATGCAATATTTTAGGAAATTATCTCATATATATCATGTCGTACTTAATTTAGGGCATAATATTGTAACAGCCCAATTCCCTCCTCCCCAAGAAAAACAATCCAAGCAATTTCCTTACAGCTCACTCTCTTTCTTATAATTAACCGGTTTCAATATATGTACCTCGTGATAAATATTAATGGAATAATTCTATGTACTTATGTCTCGTTATCATTTAAAAATGATGATGTTTTCACAGACACATAAGTTTGGTGAAGAGGCAAATTAACAAATTAATACCTAGAACATGAATTATGAATATCAGGCTGAAAGGAGGGGCATGTGTAATTTCTCTCCATTTAGCTGGAAGTTCGATAACGCAAGTCTAAAAGTTAATTGATAACACAGGACATGAGGAATATATGCATTTGCATGATGTCAATGATATGCCTGATCGCGTTCATATATACCAACTAACTACCCTCTTACCGCAAGATGCTTTTATCAATCTCTTCTCGTAGAGCCATTAATTAGTAATCAGAGCATAAAGCAATATTAATTACAAAGTTCCTAGGAATTCAAATATTCAATTTTATATAATAATAAAGAAGGTTCTTTTTTTTTTCCCCATGGTTTTCTCTATCTCCTATCGGGGGATGTGTATGGTTACCTCTTGTTTCCCCTTCCTTTTATCACATTTCGGTGGGTTAGTGGCTTTCTTTCTCCCATGCCCTAGCACTTGATCAATTCAACCTCTAGTCTTGTTGACCATTGAACATGTCTTTCGTTTCAAAATCACGGGGTCAATTTGATTTTCGTATTTTCAAAACAAATGAATAATTTCACGTAACGTTTCTGGAACAAACATATATTAATATTATACATGCTCTTCGTGTATTAACTATCATATTTACTTCTTTTTTTGTCTATAGGATTAAATAATGTTAAATTGTTGACGAAGTTAAAGAAAGTCTTTTTTTTTTTTTTAGTGAATATTTTTTTTCTTTTTACTTTCCTTTTTTCAGTCAACGTTCCATTCGGCACTTTGAATAAAATTTAAAATAGCATAGAGAATAATAATATACAAGCTCCAAAATGTCCTAGAATGGTGCTCGTGAGAATCTGGTAAGATTTTCACACACAGGTCTAAAAACGACTAAGATAGCCTTAATTACCATAAAGGTTGTTCAACCCTCCTCCTCAAGCAACCCCAAGCTCACGCTATATAAACCCTTGTCCTTCAATTACTTTTCTCACCAATTCGTTTTTGCCATCTCGATCTGCTAGCTCTTCTCTGCCCTAGGGCTATCCTGACATTCTCTCTCTCTCTCTCTCTCTCTCTCTCTCTCTCTCTCTCTCTGTGTTTTTGACATTAACCACCATGGGCCTCTCAAAAACATTCTCAGCGTCCGATGTCTCTGTCCACTCAACTTATGCCTCTCGCTATATTCGAGACTCACCTGCTAAGTAAGTATATATATGTACTGTGTTTATATATAGGCTTAGATGCATTTGGGTTTTGATGGATGCATGCAATAAATAATAAATAATAAATAAATTGCAGGTATAAGATGCCGGAGAATTCAACCCCAAAGGACGTGGCGTTCCAGATGATCAATGACGAGCTGATGCTTGATGGGAAGCCAAGGCTCAACTTGGCTTCGTTTGTGACAACATGGATGGAGCCAGAGTGCGAGAAGCTTATCATGGATTCCCTGAACAAGAACTATGTTGACATGGATGAGTACCCTGTTACCACTGAGCTTCAGGTACTGCAATTAATTTTCCGATTATACATAAAACTCTGTACTAATGAAGCTTAGAACAGCACAGGAGTTTTAATTCGTTAAGTTGACGATTTCTTAAGTATTTTATTGGTGATGGCTTAGTAGTGTTTAGACAAAAAAAAAATATATAATTTATTTGTATACCTTTCCCTTTTTTCTTTTACTCAACTTTGTATTTTTTGTCAAAGCCTTTTCTTTTTCGTCTTCTTTTCTTTTTGGTGTATTTTTTGAAGAAATCAAATCGAGCCAGTGATTCTGTGTGCCTGACGTGACTCTCTCTGGCAAGATCTCTTTTTCTTTTTCTTTACACAAAATAAAATAAAATCTGAGTATGGCACGTGTGGTGGGCCTTGTATAAAAACTGAAACGACCGAAGACTGAATGTCGTTGAGTCAACGAGTCAATGGGGAATTGATGCTAATAAATTTATCTGTCTCTGTCGTGTGTTTGAGTACACAGAATCGGTGCGTGAACATGATAGCAGATCTATTCCATGCACCGCATGAAGACGGTGAGGCTGCGACTGGAACAGGAACAGTAGGATCATCGGAGGCTATAATGCTGGCAGGCCTTGCATTTAAGAGAAAGTGGCAAAACAAGATGAAGGCTCAAGGCAAGAGTTACGATAAGCCTAATATTGTCACTGGTGCCAATGTCCAGGTAACCTACTAGGCCATATTATTAATTTCATCTCATCTTTTATTCTTCTTTTAATTTTTTTCTCGCTAATTAATCTTCGTAATTACATATATATAGGTATGCTGGGAGAAGTTTGCAAGGTATTTTGAAGTAGAACTGAAGGAAGTGAAAGTGAGGGAAGACTATTATGTAATGGACCCTGTCAAGGCTGTGGAGATGGTGGATGAAAACACCATCTGCGTTGCTGCTATTTTGGGATCAACTTACAATGGAGAATTCGAAGATGTGAAGCTCTTGAATGATCTCTTGCTGGAAAAGAACAAGCAAACGGGGTACGTACATATTTGCTTCACATACACTAATTTAATGATTAGTTAATTGCAATTATATAGTTGGATTAACATTTAATTTCAAAGTAATATTGATTTGGCAATGGATGTATGCACAGATGGGATACCCCAATTCATGTCGACGCTGCCAGTGGTGGGTTCATTGCACCATTCTTGTATCCTGATCTTGAATGGGACTTCCGTCTTCCACTGGTGAAGAGCATCAATGTCAGCGGCCACAAGTATGGCCTTGTTTATGCTGGAATCGGGTGGATTGTTTGGAGGGCCAAAGAGGACTTGCCTGAAGACCTTATCTTCCACATCAATTACCTCGGAGCTGACCAGCCCACTTTCACCCTCAATTTCTCTAAAAGTGAGACAATAAACATATAGCAACTTCCTCTGCTCTAAACCTCTAATTCATCATGCCAATGATTACTAGTGCCCTAAACTAGTTCACCGTTATTTAATTTGCAGGTTCTAGCCAGATTATTGCTCAATATTATCAACTTATCCGATTGGGTTTTGAGGTGAGAGACGGACTAAAAGAACGAAATTCTTAAACACTAATTTTGACAATATCCTGAAAATTATTGAAATATAAGTTATCTAATTTTTGCTTTTTTTATAATGCAGGGATACCGGAATATCATGGAGAATTGTCAGAACAATGCAATGGTGCTAAAAGCAGGGCTGATAAAAACAGAACGCTTTAAGATTTTGTCAAAGGACATCGGGGTTCCAGTGGTGGCGTTTTCTCTCAAGAATAGAACCCGTTACAATGAGTTTAAAGTGTCTGAAAATTTGCGTCGGTCCGGGTGGATTGTGCCTGCATATTCCATGCCGGAGGACGCTAAGCATGTGGCCTTGCTCCGTGTTGTCATAAGGGAAGACTTCTCTTGCACTCTTGCTGAGCGACTTGTCTCTGATATTACTCACGTCCTGCAAGAGCTCGATATGCTGCATCCAGCTGCTCCTCCTGCCATTGAAAATGGTCATCTCAAAGTGGCTGCAAATGGCCTCCTCAAAGTGCCTGCCAATGGTGTTGCAAACGGTGATCACGAAGTGGCTGCAAATGGTGTTGCAAATGGGAAGGCATAGGAAGTTTATTACTGGCAACTTCTTTTTGTTGTCGGAGATGGAGTTTATTTGAACTTTATAACGTCGATCATAGGAGTTTTTTTTGTTCTCCTTTTGTTTGAGGTGTTTTTCTCTTTTTAGGCGTTTGATTATTATACTTTGAGGAGTCGTGTTAATTTCTCGGGTTACTATACTAATTGTATTGCCCCCTATTGACAGAATTTTTGAGATTGACATATATACTAGCAATTTTTCAGTTTTAATTTTATTCTTCTCTGTATCCGTCACCGTCAACATAACATGATCCTACTATTCCACATCCCTCCAGTGAGAAATGTATTTTGTTGAAGAGTAAAGGAAGCTATAAGTATTAATCAACCAAGTGTATGCCATACAAAGTAATTCTGACTTTGGCTTGAGAGCAATGCAATGAAATCAAGTCTCGCAATCGCTGCAAATTAAACATGCATAATCCCTGCTAAATAAAGGTGAAGATCAAAGTACTTCTAAGGTACTTTATCTAAAATTTGAAACTACTGCTATAAACAGGCTTACAAGAGACTGCCAGAAGCAGAGATCTTGTGGCATTATTTCGTGTTATTTTCTTGTAATAGGCTTAGGCAGGTCATGACCCTGGCTCTTATGCATGGTTATGGTTGTCCTATATGTATGTTTGAGTTTGAGATGTGTTTGTGTGTTGTTGTTGCTGTTGCTGTTATTGAGAGACAAAATGAAATGAATTTTTTTATTTTGAAAACCCAAAAGTAAAAAGATCACCATCAATTCAAATGAATTGTCAAAGTTTTTTCGTGTATTTGATTCATGTGCAGAGACAAATTGGTTCTACATGTTGTAGTGGAGGCGTCTTTTGCTCATCAAGCTGGTCAGTATAACACGTGCTGTATGAGAGCTTCTTAAATCCTAACAAAGTAAGAATTTTTGTAAAATGTCTCCGTGTGCGCTATGAATTTTGTTGAATAAGAACTTAGCAAGTATTTCTCTATAAACACTTGCTTTTAACCCTTACATAAGCAATCTCAAACAGCCGTTCATATAAACTGTTACAGAGCTGTTTATGTAAATGTTCAATCAATGTCATAACACTCTTCTTTGAAAACCTCTTATGTGATTGTGAGGGTTGAAAATTGAAGAATGGTAGGATGTGTTACTTGATGTTTTATTTTACTTTAATATGACTTGGTACAACTTTTAACATTGAGAAGAAAAGTATCATTTTCTAAAGGTGTCACAAAGAAGTTCGTAATAAATATAGTAAAAATCATATATGAACAAGTAATGATAGAGATCACATATTGTGTATACCATTTTTTTTTATCTTAAAAGTATAGCACACATTTGGAAGTAATACATATAATGTGTTAACCGCGATATTTTCCTATATGAACAAGGTCAATCTCTCATTTACAAGTCTTTGAAATCACAAAAGGTATATAGCCAGTAATAAGTCGTAAATAGCTTTCCATTGATTCTCCAAATGTCAAAGCTATCTTTTTTATTTTTTTTTTTTGGTTATCTTATTAATAATGCCAAAGCTATATATATTCAATATCGAAACTCCTGATGGATAGTGAACAGGTAAAGAAAATAAAGCTTGTGTCCAAACGGTTTTCGCTAGGACCAAGTTGGATTGGAAATTCCGATTTGAAAATTTCGAATTCTGGTGAGTCCAAATAAATTTCGACATCCGAAAGTTTCGAAATTCGAAAATTTAGAAGAAAACAAATGGATTGGAATTAGAATGCATGTCAAACTTCTGAAAACTTTTGAATTCTGAAATATATTCGGGTCTCAAGCTTAACTACACAAAAATGACTAATTTCATGTTGAACTAAATATGACTTAATGACAAAATAGACATAAACAAGTAATTTCATAAATAATAACAACATATAATAGTTTTTCGAGCTTTTCATATGATTTTTCAATTTTGAGCCAATTTTAACATTTCAATACATATTTTAAAAAATTAACTATTTTCTAAATGAAATATGTTTTGAAAATTCTAAATCATAGTGGATGTGAAATTCTGAAATTTTTTGGAACGGCAATGAAACATAATTTTCTTTCGAATTTTTTTGGATTGGAATTGGAATCCCCTAATTCCTATCCAATATGTTAGAAAACCAGCCCTAGCTTTTTCACAGCTGGGAATATTGCAATTAGTGATTGTTGCCATTCTCTCATTTTGTGGCAGATCAACAGAGAGACAAAAGGGATCATGCGACTCCATGGAGGCCGAAAATGTCCTAATTTAGTAATAGTATTCGAACCAAAATCATAATATTCAAATACACTTGTATGGGAAAGGAATAAAATTTAGAAGAGAAAAAACAGATAAGGAAAATAATTCCCTCTTAAAATATTTTCGGGACTTTTAGACTATCACCCCGTGAGTAAGGATGTGGATGCAGCACTACTCTCATTCACATTATTTTGCAGGAAGAGAAGAGGGCATCCATCCATCAATGCAAGGCTACGTTTGATTAACGCATTGAGATATGCCTTTCAACCTTTGATGTTCAAATACAGAAACCATTCTCTTATTATATAATAAAGTCTTACCCCAAGAAAAAGCATATACGACCTGTTTGGTATACTAAATTGGACTGGATTGGTTAACTTTTTTACATTACATTGGACTGTTGGGATATGACTGGATTTTAAAAAGTTGTTTGGTGCAATACAACATCAAAGTTGAGATTAGGATGCCATTTTTTTTATTTTTTTATTTTATTTTTATATTCTCATTTCCAAATTAATTACAACAAAATCGATTGAGAGGATCTGATGAGAAAAGAGAAGATAAGAGGGGAAGAAAGAGAGAACAGAGAAGAGAGGAGGGGAAGAGAGAGAAGAAGACAGATGGTTGGAGGCGTGCTCTCTGGCTTCAAAACCCACGTCTGAGGTTGGGTTTCTAAGCCCCAATTATTTGGGACTTGGATCCAAGGCCCATATCCAGTCCTAGACGCAATTTAAGCCTGTCAAACAATGGCTAGGACTCATGTCCATTTTAATTAAAAATATCCAGTCCAGTCCAACTTATCAAACGAGGCCATATAGTGTAAAATCCTTGATATCATATATGTAGGTCAAACAAGCTACTGAATATTTCCAGAATACTTACCGCTTTAGTTTGTCAAAAGCAATTAAAGATAATTTTCCAAAAACAAAAAAGGAGGAAAATTCTTGTACATTCAAATTATCCCTTGCTTTCAGTTGAAACGAAAGCTTGGAAATTTGAGGCATAAAAGATGCTTTTGTAGGGATTATTTACGAGGACTCTGTCAACCCACCATAAGTGCCTTGGCTTGAGTATCATCAAGTGTTATATGTTTTGTAATTAGTGATTATTTTGGCAGGAAGAGAAGAGGGCATCCATCCATCAATGCAAGGCTAGATATGCTGTTCAACTTTGATGTTCGAATTAATAAAGTTTTACACCAAGCAAAATATATATAATATAATTAAAATCCTTGATATAGTTCAAAAATAGTTTCCTATGATCTCATGTTTGCAAATCACTCAAACACACCAAACTAAGAAACTAAACAGAAAATAATAATAAAAGAGTATACCGAATACTCTCCTAAATAAGGAAAAAAAAATGGTAATAATAATGTTTGGATTATCATATCCCCAAGTTCAACTGAGATTGGACATCCAAAATGGTGCGAGCAGAGTACCTGAGTCTCTGTTCCTCCTCATCAGTGAGATGTATATTGGTGACCCCCAACACCCCACCTCTCCCCAGCTGCGCAGGCAAGCTCAAGAACACTTCCCCGCCTTCCACTCCATAGAAGCCCTTGGCCAGCACCGAAACTGGGTGGATCTTCCTCTGGTCCCTCAGTATGCTCCGAGCTAGGTTAGCCACCGAGTACCCTATTGCCCATGAAGTATACCCTTTCAGGCTTATCACTTCATACGCGCTGTCCACCACTGCCTTGTGGATCTCCTCCAGCGTCTCTTTCTCGTACGCTATTTCCTGCTTCTCTAGGAAGCTCAGCACCGGCACTCCCCCTACGCTGATGCTCGACCACAGAGCCACTGAGCTGTCTCCATGCTCCCCAACGATGTAAGCCTAAAGTAAACACACGCACACTCTTACTATATTATTACCACACGGTGCTAATTCATTACTACAAAACAAATCAAATATAACTCATAAACTTACTTGCACATCTTGGGCGTTCACGTCAAGATGATCAGCGATGAGGAAGCGGAACCTGGAAGAGTCCAGATTGGTCCCCGACCCCAGGACCCGGTTGCTGGGAAACCCGGATAGCTTCCACGCCACGTGAGTCAAGACGTCCACCGGGTTGGATACGATGAGTAAGATGGTGTCCGGCGAGAACTTGACGAGTGGGGGGATGATTTTCCGGAACAGAGCGACGTTCCTCTGGAGCAGGTTGAGCCTGGACTCTCCCAGATTCTGGCGGGCACCGGCGGTGACTATGCAGAGGTCGGAGCCAACGGTGACGGCGTAGTCGACGGAGGCCAGGATTTTGGTGCGGGGGAGGAAGGCGGCGGCGTGCTGGAGGTCGAGCATCTCCCCGCGTAGCTTGTCGGGATTGACGTCGATGAGGACGAGCTCGTCGGCGAGGTCTTGGGTTAAGATGGTTTGGGCAATGGCCATGCCGACGTTACCAGCGCCGACGACGGAGATCTTGGTGTGGCGCTTGGTGGGGGAAGGAGGGGCTGCACTGGATATGGGTTTGAAGAAGGACTGGGTTAAGTCCAGCCCTCCTGGTCCTAGTGATGACCCTGAACTACTCTTATGCATGGTAACGGTAATGGCTGTCTTACTCTTACGATGTATGTTTGAGTTTGAGATGTGTTTGTGTGTTGCTGTTGATGTTCTTGAGAGAGACAAAGTGAGAGGTTTTATAATGTCGGATGAGAGAGGGACGAAAGTCGGCGGAGGAGGGCAGTTGAATGCGGTGGGGAACAAGATGTTTGATTTGGGAGATTTCCTTCCATTTCAACAGTCAACAACATTCTGCGACTTCAGAAGATTGACCATTAATGAAGGAAGTTTCCTTTCTTTCTAAAACAAAGACTTTCCTTTCTTCTTTTAATAACGGGAGATAAATTAAGCAAGTTTTTCTCTTGGCTTGTCTTGGACACTACTTCAGAAGATTCACCATTATTAATTATATGAACCCTCCGATTCCACGCAGGCAGAACTTCTTCAATAAAACGAAGCCCAGTTGGAATTTACAGCCCATATCTTTTGTCTGCCAGCTGAACCCATTGGACCTTCTTCAATAAAGAAGCCCATGTTGTCTTCCTTCTTCAATGAAAAAAGCCCATTTGGACTTGTTGAAATATGATGTCGGCACGAGTTGTTGTGGGTGTTTAAAGATTTTGATGGATATTCAGACTCCACGAGCATCTCTAGCAGACTCTCTATCCTCTCATCTCTAGCTATTTTTGCTAAAAAGAAGGAAAATCCTCCTTCAAGCATACTCCCTACTTTTGGCTCTCTACATCTAGCAAGGAGGAGAAAGATAAAGACATTTGGAAGCTTGGTGGGGTTGGGTTTCTACTTTTCTTTTTAATATATTTGCTTTGCAAAAGAAAGAGGGAGAAAGGGAAAAAGAAAATAATAATAAAATATTTCAGATTAGCCAAAATAGAGAACATTGCTGGAGGAAACACCTTTTAAGTGGTTTGCTATAATAATTTTCTAGCTATCTTAACTAGAATTTAGCTAAAATTTGGAGACTCTTCGGAGATACTCACCTACTCAAATTCGTGCGGACAAAAGAACATGCTGGAAAAAAAAACGAAGGAGAAGCACTGAACTCAACAGACAAAAGCAAACCAAAATCTGATGTTGTGTCACCTTGTGAAAGTAGTATCACTAACTTAATGCTCAGTGTGAACACCCCATGCAATTCAATGAAAATGATTACATGTTGAATAAACTAGGGCACAAACCATAGTCATCCTTCCACGTCTCCACAACCACCGCACTAGTACAAAAGCACTATTTTCACCCTCAAGCTATATATATATATATATATATATATATGTATGTGGATCAGTGTACAAGACAATAAAACCAGAGCGCCTAAGTCTAGCAATTAATACATTACATAAGAGGTTGAACAAGATGAAAGGCTGCCTTGTTTGTGTGTTTGTGTTTCTGGTAGCTTCAAGAGCGTTTTTTGAGGAAGTTGGTGCAGCTGGGGAATGTGGAAAGACCCCAATTAGGTCAGCAGCAACTAGCTTGAGCCCGTGCTTGAGCTCAGCTAGAAATGTGAGGGCCAAGGTTCCTCCAACTTGTTGCACCAAAGTTGGGGCCTTGATAAGTACTGCCCCAAAATGCCTGTGTGCGGTTTTGTTGTCCCCTTTGGCAAAGCAGGCTGGTATCAATCCCGCCATTGCTATCACTATTCCAAAGAGATGCAAAATCAGGAACCGACCTGCTGGAAAGAAGTGCGGAAGTAAGTATCTATCTATACACCCTTTGGGCTTTTACAAACATGATAATGCCCTTAATTGATTGTCAAGACTGCTTTTCCATTTTTGTTACCCTTTGGTTGGGCTTTTGTTATTGTTCTTTTGTTCCGTGGGTAAATCCATTTACATATATAATAGAGCTTGTGACATGGTTATTCATCTGTTTGAGTTTGACTGACTTTGTAATTCTCTGTGTTGCACTTGCAGGATATGTTGTCCCATAAGCCGCTGGCTGGCCAAATACATAAAAGGGGGACCCAGCAAATCCAACGTTAAATGAGATTAGTGTGTTAAGTTAGAATAAACATGTACCCCACCAAGGGTCATTTGCTGAGCTATCGTTGACTCTTTCAGGCACTACTAATACTATTTTATGTCATATTCTTGTCCTGATTACACTTATTTAGTGGATTATGGTCCCTGTCTTATCCTTAAGTTACCACAATCTTTCTCTCTTCCCTATTTCCTTTTCATACGTACGGACAATGAGCATTTATGTATTAATTTACAGAAAGATGGAAAATTACCCGAAAATAAAAAGATGGATCCAGAACAAAACTATTCAGTCATGCATAATTTTAAATCCAATTCAAATGAATCAAAAGAGACCATAATGATGATTTCTTAACCAGAAACTTTGAAAGATTGGGCATTTTGTTCAACCTGTTTATGCATGTGCAGAAAAGCACCCCGAAAGCTTTACATTATTACTTAAACACGGTGAAAATTTGGGGTCCCATTTTGTCGAATTCAAATTCTCACTCTCACAGAGAAAAGGGATTAGTGCTAAATCGTGATGGTGCTCCTTGATCATTAGCAGTAAATGGGTACGAATCCAGCTGTCCACGGGCCTAATAACTCTCAATGAGTGCTTCTGATTGGACTTCCGTAGAAGTCCAATACAAACATTTATGTTCGGCTCGGCCCATTCTCTTTGTCACCGTCTGATTAAAGATGAGTGTGTTTTTGGCACAAACCACCACACAATAACTCTGTACGACACATCGAACAAACATGCTCTGCCGTCGGATTGTGCATCAATCAACATCCCCACGAAATACAATGTGGGTGACTCACATGAGCTAAACTTTGGCCTCTCAAACTCCATGATCAAAGGGTACTACTGGTCCCACACTCACCCACCCCACCCATCATATTAAATATGAATTCTTCTTCTTCTTCCATCCATTTCAGTGAACCCCACAAACATGCATGCCAAGAAGTGGGCCCAACCCAAACTCAATTTAAACCAGGCAAGAGAATTCAGATGTGAAATGACCCTCACGATGGGGAGAGAAGGTGTAGAAAAAAGTGTCCAAAGGAGAACGGCTGACTGTAGGAAACAAAAAAGAAAAAGCTGAAATTTGAATTTGTGTCAAACAGTCATAGGATATGGGGGCATATCTTTTCCTTGCCTTGCAAATCTTACAAATACAATATTTGCTTTTTTACAAATGCAATGCAGACATCATCATATGAGTACCATTTGCAATTATTTAGTCCCCCACACACATATCCATCGCATACATATCTTAACCACACAAAATTAATCAAAGTGAGACTACATTTTCCGAATCCCAAGAGACACCCTACTTTTTCTCCTCCTTTTTTTTCTTTGTAATTAAAATTAAATATTAAAAAAAGCATTGCCGTTGACTGGCTGCTTCTTCTGAAATCATATGATTCTTTTTAACTTTTTCCTCTCTCTCTCTCTCTCCCCACCACCATGGCTGGGCTATAAGCCAAGGCTTTCACATAAATATAAATAGAAGCATTTTCAGCATCAATTAATGTATGGGCCTGATTCGTAGTAGATCATTCATTTCATTTATATCAGATCAAATCATACTAAGCTTGTCCATGGCTTACACAAGCAGTAGCCTCTACAGCTCTTCCCTAGCTTGGGATTCTCATAACAACCAACTTGGACTTGTCAACAACACAGACAGAATGTCTTTAGGTACCACCACCGCCACTTCCACTTCTGCTTTTGTTTTCTCTCTCTCTCTCACTGTTTTTGTTTTCTGTCTACATTCCTTCCTTATATAAACTTCTTGTCTTTATATTGTTGCAGCTATGGATGAGTACATGATGATGACGATGATGATGAAGGCACCGTTTTGCTCACCTCCACTGGTAGATCAGTCAGATTTCTCAACGGGGTACTTGGAAGATGCTTTGCTTGAATTTAGCGAGCCTTCCAAAAGAAGACGGGTGCTCTTGTATACCGATGATGAGATCAACCACTCCGCTACTACGACTAGTGTTCTTGAAAAGGTACCTACTTCTCTACCTCTACTGCATGGCGTGCCCCGTTTTTGAAATTAATTTCACACTGACATATTTACATATTCTACTTGGAATTAACAGAGCCACTGGAATTCACACTGGGAACTCTCTGAGAATTTTGACTGCATGACCCAGCTAACCAGTTCCAGTGCGCTATCAGGTAATTATTTTAACTTTCTGGTTTGTTTGTTTCTTATTAATTATGGAATTTAGAGACTAATTAAAGTTGGATTCAATTTCAGTTCTACCGGGTGATCCTGTAAGTATAACCACACCAATCGGCAGAGTCTGTGAGGAGACAAACAGAGTCACAATGATAAACACAGCAGAAGAGGCAACAATGCCAGCTCCTGAAGCTATTGATTCCTCCTCTTCTTCTTCTTACAAAGAGGACTCAGCCAATGCCAACTCTGATTATTTACCTGCTCCTCCAGCTGCAGGTACATATATTTTTCTTTCTTTCGGTCACTCAATCAAAAGTAGTGCCTATATATAATATAAAAAGGGTACGAAAGTAAAAACAAATATGTATAATTAATAGATTATTAAAACTGGATGAGCAGTGGTAGGTGGTAGCAGCAGTGATGAAAAGAGGAGAAAGAAGAAGAGGGTGATAAGAAAGGTGGTTTATCCATTTGCATTGGTGAAGCCGGGCGGGGTAGAAGGGGACATGACCTTAAACGACATCAACGAGAGGATCCTAATGCCGCCAACAAGGCCAGTACGACATCCAGTCGGGGACTTTGCGTGTCGGCCATGCGTGTCTGCTGATGGCCCAGGCCTTTCTGGCAAAGCTGTGGTGGCCCTTACCAGAATTCACACTCAGGGCAGAGGCACCATCACTATTATCAGAACCAAAGGTTAAAAATCAACCACATCAGCCTGCTAGCTAGCTACGCATGCACCTAGCTATAACATATATGCTTCAGTGTTCGATGATCCATCTCTCATCTTTAATTCTTCATTAGCTAGTTAATTAAATCTGCTCTCTCTTGAATTGTATAGAACAGAAACCTAAGTGAATGTGCAACATGTGTTATGGGTTGTTACTTTTACACATAGTTAATTGATTAAGAACTACTACTACTATTTTATTATTATTCAGCTCCGTCACGTCTTTGTTTGTTGTACTGACTACTTTGACAATAAATGTGTGCAACAAACAACACACAAGATTTCTCAAGTCAAAATAATGGAAAAAGAAGCGAATAGAAACGAAAATGCATGCCTCTCTTCAAAGGTTAAAGCTCGCCTGACACAGGGACCTGCCTATAAGGCAGTCTAATTAATGTCGTTGTTCTCGATCGCAAGGTGTAAAGTAGAGTAGGGTTGGTCATTTGTCTGGTTCAAGTGGGGACAAACAAACTATCCAACAGCAACGAAAATCAGACTCAAATAATCCAAAAGTGGAAATTCAGATCACACACATATATATATATTATTTGTTGAATATAAGATGGGTGGATTCACCACCATAGACACAGTCGCCCACTGCGTAATCTTTTACCTTCTGGTGTTGGATTGGTGATGAATGAAAGCTTTATCTTCTCCCATTAATTCATTCCCATCTCCTTTACTTTAACTTTTCTTTTTCTGCTACGTACCTGCTGCAGATACCTCCTTCTGCAAGACTCCAACAACTACCACTACAAGTAGTACAAATCATTTTCCAATTTCTACACACAAACAGACAGATCATATATATTTATATATGAGACCAACACTTTAAGCTTAGCCAGTAAGCTAGGTTCCTATAAATTTATAAAACTTTAAAGAGTACACCAATCATTAGACTAATACTGTTCTGATCCTTAACTAATGCCTGCCTTGCCAATGCCTAGAATAATATTCTTCTCTTCTCTTCATGTGATGTGGCCTGTGGCTGTGGTGCATGTCTTCTTCTTCGTCTGCAACGCATTCGCATATATTTATATTTATATATACATAGGTCTCCGGTCAACACCCAAATTTCAAACTTGGCCCAGGATTCAAGACAATATCTAACATGTGAACATGCACCCAGTTACATGCGCCTGCATCACAACCGTCTAATGGTAGTAATACCCTTTGACTTTTCCTGATGAAAATATATATTTATCTCATGCGGGTGCGGCCTCAACTTGAGGAGAAGGCACGAAAAAGCGAGCAGCACATCACATCACATCCTAGCTAGCAAGCAGCATGCCTACATGGCTAATCTTGGTGCGAGAGTGACAAAGGAGTGACGACAGGGATTGGATGTTTTGTCTCATTACAACGAGAAATCATTTTTCTTGTTTTAGGTGAAGAAAAAGAAAGAAGCAGCAGCTTTTCATCTTTTTCTACTCAAATTTCTTTGGATGTGCAGAATCGATATATATTATATATAGGTCAGGTGGTAGAGAAGCCACACAACACTTATACTACTAGTAGTGGGACGGACTAGAAAAACTTGCATATTTTCGGCCAATCATATAGTGAAAAAGTTATCACGCTATGTCTTTGTTAGAAATAGTAAAATAATATTATTCTTATTACACACAAATGTTTCTCCGAACGGATATAAAATGGTATTCTATTTATTTGAAAATAAAGACTACACATTACACTAAGCTAGTACTACCCATTCAATTATATTTAAAGAAAATAAAAGGTCAAGTATATATATTCCAAAAGAAAAGTAAATAAAGAAAAAAGAGAGAAATCAAACAAGAATAGTAAAGGGGGAGAGATGGATGACCTAAAAGGATGAGTAGGAGGTTCGAATGAAATATGGAAAGCAAGGAATCAATGTGTTTTTTGCTTCTACCTTTGAAATGCAAAATGAAGTGTTTTGTAAATGTATGATGAAAATGGAAAATTGAAGTTAATGTACATCTTCTTAATCTCCCTGAGATTTAATCATAACTCTCCAAATCCAATCCAACACTAGTTTACTTTGGATGTTTCACTTTGTTTGTACTGAATTGATGGCAGTCAATTAAATGATTTCCCCTTTTCTTTGTATCTTCAGAAAAGAAGAAAAACAATGGAAAAACAAGATCCTTGGTATACGTGAGAATGCCATCCACTTTTGCTTTTCCAAATCCCCAATATTGTGAGAATTGGATTCTCTTTTTAATTTTAACATACCCTCCATTGGGATTTCACTCTTTAAATTCTTTTTAAATAAAATACTCACGAAGCTTTCTACTGTTTTCTCTTTTCTTTCTCTACCTGAGTCGAAGAATTGGACTTAAACTTTTATAACAAGGTGTATATCTTCCTCCTTGGACCTCTGTCAAACAAAGTTATGTAGGCCCGCTTAAAGCACACGTAGGCCCTGATTACATAATTGCTTCTGAATTCATATTGGCCCAATATTAATGCCTACTGGGTCGTCCTTATTACATCATTGCGTCTGCTTCAGAATCAATATTGGCCCAATTATTTTATTTTATTTTATTTTTTGTGTGTAGAAAAGATGGTTTATTATAGCCACCAAGATTGGAACAATAATTGCTTTACACCCAAAACAAACTGCTAATGTTTTTGTTTTGGGCATCATTACCATTAGCTCATGCTGTCGTCATATAGTTAATGGGTCAAAGCAAAAGTCTAAAGTCTTCAGTCCAAGCATTGCCCGTATCAACCGCAACGGGAAGTGGTCAATACTTGTTACAGTAATAGGTCAAAGATTCTTTCTAGTTATAGAAGTAAATTTATATTGGGTTATTTCGCGCGCCCGTAAAAAAATTGATTGTGCAAAATAAAATAACGAGTGCATGATGTAATGTTTTTTGATGCTTCACGACGGAAGCCAATAGTAGATAGCATGATAATATATGCAGTGCGCAATCTGTTGACTTTCGGGATGATATGCAAAATTGGTATTGGACCATGTCAATCTGGAGTCTGGGCGGTATAAATGCAATGCGAAATTTGCCAACGCGGCGCGAAATACAAATAGACTCACAAGTTTATTTATGCAATTTTGTTTTTGAACTTAGTCTCCCTTAGAATTAGAAAAAATATCTCGTTCTGCTGTTGCCATCTTTGAATCAAGAGGAGAGAGAGAATCACATTTCAAATATTATTATTTAAGATCTTAATGAAGAAAATGATTGATTGAATGAAAAAGTCACTATATGAAATCTCAAGAACATCCCGCGAACAAACAAAACGAAGGAAGGTACGTACGTGTGATGAGGTCCAGAATAATGCAACAATCAAAAGGACACAAAATCTAACAGACCTAGCTAGCTAGCTAGCGACACAACTGATTCTGATACGGAAGAAGGCTTAATTTGTGGATTAATATTTGGTGGGGTTTGATGATGATGTGTGTTTGAGCTGATGATGATCAAAACAGAGACAAGAAAAGACGGTCTTGAGAACCTTCTTGAGAACTTGGCCCCGTTTTGGGATCCAGCGAGGGGCCATGAAAGCAGAAGCACCACCATGATATCGATGATGAGCACTAGTAGCCGTGGAGGTTGCTTCTTCGCAGCTGTGGATGAGAGCAGCCATATGAATATATGAATATATTGGCTGCGCTGGCTGTGTGTGTTCGTTTTCTATGGAAGGGAGAGAGACAGCTTAGGCTAGATAGGTTGCTTTTGGAAATGAAGTTAAGTTGGCGAGTCGGAAGAGGCAGTGAGAAGTGGTGCCGACAACAAGGTGTTGGAGTTACTAATATGAGGGGTGTGGAAGCCGCGTAAACTCACTCGTTTAACCGAGTGAGTAACGCGTGAAGGCTCTTTTTTCTCTCTCTCTCTGTCTCTCTCTCTTTAAGACTCGTTCTCATACTTGTTGTTTATATAAATAAAACCCAAGTAACACTATCAAATTCTAATTTGTATTGTACCCAACCAACCACCTCAATCACCCACCAAGCCACATCCACAACAACCCAACATATATTACCAGAGGGAGAGGAGCCCAATCCCCTTACACGCCTATCATATACTCTCTCTCTCTCTCTCTCTCTCTCTCTCTCTCGGGAGAGGGAGTCCAATTCCCTTACACGCCAATCATATATTCTCCCTCTCTCTCTCTCTCTCTCTGCGCTTTGAATAAGTCATTTCATTCTACTTCTCCTTGTGCCCCCTACTTTATTCTGCACATAGAGAGTTTGAAGCCCCCTACTTTAATTAATATAGAACATATGTGTTCCCAGTTTATCTGTTTCTGCACAGAATAACCTTTAGTAAACAACACATATGAATTTCTGGTATAACAGTTTTACTAGTGAAAGGGAAAGTAACAATTAATTCAATCTTATAAAGCATATGAAAAGTGCGACAGAGGATGAAAGATTATAAAAAATTAATTAATTCAACCATGAGGGGGGGATGCTGAATAATATTTGCTGCTTTTCCCTCGTCTCTTTTTTGACTTTTCAATATTAGTCCCAATCCCGACCATTAATGAAATATATAACTGAGATACAGGTGGCGTGGCGACGTCTTAACTTTTCTGATTAGAATCCGTTGACCTTGACCTCACAAAAGACCAAAGGCCCCAAATGAGAAGTAAAAAGAAGAAGATGGACCATCTCCCCCATCAAAGAATTCGGCCTAAAATGGCCGAAAAGGCTATAATGAGGGCTTAAAGTGAGGAGGTTATTTGAGGATGTCAAATCTCACCATCAACAAATGTAAAGAAATCATGGGACTTAAATATTTTAAATGTTTTGACGGTCGGATCGATCTCCTCAAATAACCTCCTCACTTTAACTCCTCATTGTAGAAGCTCCCCTAAAATGGGTCCCCCTCATGGGCTCAGCTGACCTGAACTTAGGCTACAAAATTTTGGCCCACACAGATTACAAAGAATCAGTCTACTATAATATTGCGGGCTTGATATTGCATGGGATTAAAGATAAGATTCACTACTTGTTGGAGCACCATATGGATATGGTGGAGCAGTACTATTACCTATGAAGTTTTTTTTGTTTTTTATTTTTTTAAATACAAACGATACTGCTAATGGGTTATAGCCCAATAGAAAATGACATTTATTTACAGACTACTCGTCTCAAATTCAAACCCTCATAAGTCATGACACTTTAGTAGCGTGTGTGAGAAACCTCCTACAAAGATAAATACTCATAACCACTTGCGTCACAAACCCTTGCATTAGCTATGAAGTTAGCAACAATGATTATGTGCAATAACATCTTATATATTTATTTTATGTGGAAGTTTTCCAGAACAATATCCAGTTTATGTATATATATGTTCCTTGTTGCATTGTGATTGTAGCAGCTGTTGAAGTTGAGCGCAAGTCTAACTAAGATCACCTCGGAGGGGGCATTCCCAAACATCACATTCGCAACTTTTTCGTTTACTTGTACTAGAATATATTTTTTCCCTTAAAATACTAATACTATTGCTTTTTTGTTTCAAGTTTTGGCAGCCATTAAAACTTTATCAGAGGCGTAGAGGGTTTGCTGTTAAGACTCTTTGGCCCAATTTGTATGTGTTTTGTGGGCTTTAAATTAGTGGCTTATTGAAATTGCTACATATCGGAAGATGAGTCATTCTATAGTGAGGGCCTAATACATGGCCCTTAGGGGAGACTCTATCTCTTAACCGTTGGATCAAGCTAATCAATTTGATCCAACGGCTAACTAATTTGATCGAACAGTTAAAAAATAGGGCATCACCTAAGAGCCATATATTAGACCCTCACTATAGAATTATTGATGGAAGAGATGGATACTTGGGTTGGGTTGGGTGTGTTTCCACGTGATTGTGAGACTAGTTTTCTTGTCTCATCAGTAAGAGGACAAATTTGGTATAGCTCATTCTATTTGCAGCAAAAGTAAAGTTTTGTTGAAAAAGTTTGACAGTGGAGCCCCCATGTCGGAAGGAAATTTCCTCACACCTTCATGAAACCTTCCTTCTTTGGTTATTAGTCAAGGCTTTGCCCATAAGAGCATCTCCACTCACAAGGGCTAAGTCTAAGGCAAGGGCAAGCAAGGGTTGCCACTATTCACGTGAATAGTGTCAGCCTTTGCATTTGTGGTTCCACCCATGAGGGCAAAGTCTAGGGCAAGTCTAAGGCAATTACTATTCATTGTACTTTATTTCCTATTTTTTTATACTTTAAACTATTAATTTTGATAATCTTTTGTAATTAAATTTTCGGATAAGATTTTCACCCTCTAAAATTGTGCCACGTGTCCCATGTCAGATACGATTTTAAGATACTTGAAAAAAAATTATAATCTCAGATTTCAGATAAAATTTTCACCCAAGATTGACACAACGCAACATCTTCATGAGTTGACCATGAGCCTCCAACTTCGACAGAAGATGCCATTTGTTTTTTTTTTATACAAATGGAAAGTAGTAGAAAAATGTGAGTGGAGAGTAAACAATATTGGAAGAAGAAGAGTTTGTATGGAGAATTAGTGTGGAAAGTGAAAAATGTGAGTGGAAAGTAAAAAATATTGGAAGGAGAAGAGTTTGTATTGAGAATTGGTGTGGAAAGTGAATAATGTGAGTGGAGAGTAAAAAATATTGGATTGGAGAAGAAATTGTATAAAGATTTGGTGTGTAAAGCAAATAAAATGGTTAGGTATTTATAGGGAAAAAATACAGAATTTTTTGGTATTTTTTTATAAAAAATTCAGAATTTTTCAGAATTTTTTTCGATTTTTTTTGCAATACTGTCGGATTTCTGGAAAAAAAACAATCGGAGAGCCCCTGTCGCGACACGTGGCAAATGCTCGTTGGATTTTGTCAGGTGTGACGTCAACGCGCGGAAGTCAAATTTTTTTACCGTTGGCGTGTGTAATTCATGTGCCAACGGTAAAAAAAAATTTGACTTACCTTGCGCTGACGTCAGCGTGACATCACAAAACTATTCTTCCCTCTCATCAATAAAATACTCTTGTCGTTTTGTCAAAAAAAAAGAAAAAAAAAGAGTTAGGACCTAGACTTTGATCTCTTATTTGAGTTGGAGGATGTCAGTAGTTTAGTTACATACCTAGATTTACTTCTAGGTGTACGTATTTTAATGTTGTGTGATATTCCTAGATTTACTTATCCTTGCTATGCTCGTTTGCTGGATAGATGCATTAGGGTTAAGCTAAAACAACTCCTTTATTTATAAGAGATATTTAGTCATATATCTATTTTTAGCACTAAAATTATAAATAAACCCAACACTATTTAATTTCTATAAACAAACCCAAAAAATAACAACTGGCTCTATTGAATTTAATTTTGATGCCCTATTGAGTGTTTTGGGTTTTTTTTTATGAGGTTTTTGAGTTGGGTTTGTTTTAAGAAATCAATGACAATTTTGCAATTTAAAATAAGTTAAACAAACTGTTTCTTTCTATCATAAAATAAAATAATGAGATAAAAAGGAGCGTACTATAGAATGTGAAGGCCAAACTCCTTATCATGCATGACTCATTCTGACTAAAGAATCGACCTCAAAATTGGAAGGGTGAATGTGATTTGGGCATGGCTTTAAGGAAAAGGACAAAAGGAGCAGCCTTCACAGTGCTTTGACCAACATTACTTGAACTTGATTGACGATGCTATACATTCGCGAAAAAAAAAGAAAAAAAAGAAAAAGAAAAAAGGATTGATGATGAATGCTATAGCTAATTCTACGATGCTCAACCGTTAATTAGATGGATTAGCCTTCTCCTCCCTCGTGATTTATTATTATTAGTGGAATTTTTGTAATCAGCAGAGCATCTTTTTTGTTTGTTTTTATTCTTCTTCTTCTTTGATTACTTAATGCAATCAGTCAATCAAATTTAAGGAAGTTTTGGTCAATTGATGTGACGGGGCATTAGTTAGGGAAATTGCATAATAATATTAATATATTATTATTATTATGTGAAGGGAAAAGAAAAAGATAAAAGAAAAGAAAACGTCCAATCCAATGGAACGTATGGATACATGCGAATGCGAAGTTGGACCAAAAAAACCGTCGACATGAGTGGGACCCACCCAGTCAAGACTAGAGTGTCCACATCCGTTGGAACTTGGAACTGTGCTGTGGAAGTCACGTGGAGACCTATTAAACTTAAGATTTTGGAACACACGAAGACTCACTCTGCAAAATTACAATTGAATTGAAAATTTACAGATTAAATTGTCCAATAACAAGCCGACACATGTCTATTTTTAATTGATCTAAATTAAAAAAATTTATTAAAAACTCATATATGTGTGCCAAAAAATTCTCCAAAAATTACCCTAAACTTTTAATCATGTGTACTTTTGTTTCATGACCTCCAATTTACATGTGCTTTTGGTTAGATTATTTGGTATTGACTTTTGTTAGATTAAATATGTAATTGACATGGATTTTGTTCATATTTGATATGAATGTTGGTAAACTAATTGTGTCAATGACAAAGATTTTGTTCATATTAATTGATATCCATATAGACTATAATCAATTAGTTGTAGACGTAAAACTCTTATTTGTTTTAATTATGAATGACATTAGTATTGGTTAAATTCTAAAGGCATTTGGTTGTATAATTTTTTTTTGGATTTTTAGCCTTATTTTTTTTAACACACTATACGGATGTTAGGACTTGAATCCAGGGCCTTACTTGAGTCCTTTGTAAATTTTTAGCCTTTTAAATATTGCATCTCCCTGAAAAATTCCTGGATCCGCCGCTTGCTAATAGGTTTAGACTCAACAAGAGATGTCTCTTCTTCTTCTTGTTTTCCTCGACTTGTGTTAGTGGTGTTGTTTTAATGGATCATCCAACGCAACCAGACTCGCCGCCGGTGACTGAGTATGAGGTTTTTGTCTCTCTCTCTCTCACGGTTACAACTTATACCATGTTATCAAATACATAAATTCAATTGCAGCTTCATCAGAACATGCTACTCCTCTCCTCTGCTCAAATGCTATACTTCAATTACTTGAAAGATTGCTTGGTGTTTCAATTATGACAAACAAGAACCCATTGAACCAACTCAATTAGTCAGGATCAAATTTTAGCTAAGTTGACCATGTTTTCTGCTTTCCTGTTAATCACCAGTGTTGGTTGTATATTTGAATGATGTGAAGCATGGTTCCTCTTGTAAATATCTTCTCTGATTCAGGGGAAGGGTAGGTGGGAGACTCTGATAATTGCATACAAGACACTGGGAGTAGTCTTTGGAGGGCTTGTCACATCCCCACTCTATGTATACCCTTCGATGCACCTCAAGTCTCCAACAGAAGATGACTATTTGGGCATCTATAGCATTATGTTCTGGACTCTCAGTCTCATTGGGGTTGTCAAGTATGCCAGCATTGCTCTCAAAGCCGACGATCAGGGCGAAGGTACATACAGGCTCACATTTTTATTTTCAAATCATTCGTCCTTAAGTTTATTATGTCTTGAATCTTTTCTTCACATCGAGTGGTTGGTTCCTCTTACAGATTTTTAATTTTTTATAATGAATAGTGTGAATGGATGTGGTTACTCTAGTTTATCGTTTTGTTCTTTCATTTTGCATGCATTACTTACATTTGGGATGCGATAGGGTAACTGGAAACTTTGGGAGCTGAAAATTGTAGTTCATAACTTCACATATGCATATGCAGAAAGTTGTAAAATCAGCATTGCAAAGCCATGAGTCATGGATAAAAGGAGACATCTTGAGTTTATTCCTAAAAGTTAGACATGTCATCTTTAAGATGTTCATAGTTCATACTGGAGTTACGCTTTAAAAGACCGTTGTCATTGTGCTTTATTTCCAACCATTGAGATTTTGCAGCATGGAAAATGGCTACATGTTTGTCAATTGAAAACCTCTTGTTTGTCTATCTGGTGGAGATATGGTCAGCATGTAAATAGGCACGATTTCAAAGATAGCAAAATTGTGAAACCATGGTAGCACGTCGAAGCATATGCTTATCCAAGTTCACTAATCCCTAGAAATTTGACTTGTGCGACATTAATTGTTTGCAGGTGGAACTTTTGCCCTGTATTCATCACTTTGCAGGAATATGAACATTGGCATGCTTACTTCAAGGCCTGCAAATTCAAGTTCAACTCTTTCACGCTCTCTCTTGGATGAGGGCACAGAAAAACAGAGTAGGCTTGCAAAGTTTTTCAGAAAAAGTGTAGTTGCTAGAAGGGTGTTGCTTTTTATTGCTATGCTAGGCACGTGCATGGTTATTGGAGATGGTATTCTTACACCTGCAATCTCTGGTATTTCACTGTGCGTTCTGTTTTTCTTTTATTTTGGAAAGTCATATTAAAAAAATTTCTTTTAACTTATGTAATTTTTATCTCTAGTTTTGTCAGCAATGGATGGAATAAGGGCGCCTTTTCCATCTCTGAGTTCCTGTAAGTATTGATGTGCATGATTGGAAGTTTGAACTATGACAATGAGCTTTCAATACTGTTGGTCCTTCCAGTAAATTAAGATAAAATGCAATCAAAAGCACCTTTATTTAGATGCCCTTTTTTTTTCTAAGAGCTTATATATAAATTCGTCTTAGCAAAAGATATTATTCAAATTCAATCATAAAACCATGGAAGAGAAACAATAGTTGTTATGCGATACATGTTTGTGCTGGGAATGTTAAACCAGGTAGGATAAGAAACAGATAGAAGTGACAATTATGGAGGTGAAGGGAAATAAATTAAGCCATGTGATAGTGGGACTTGTGAAATTTCCCAGGAAGCCAGGAAGCCAGGTAGGTCAGTTTTCTGTTCCGGAAATTGGAGTAGAATTGCTTTAGTGGTATCAGGTTATTGTGGTCTTCTTCGTTCAGTTATTAAATCATATTTGAATTTCTTTGTCATTCTGGTTTATATTTTGCAGCTGTGGTGGAAGCGCTTTCTGCAGTAGTCCTTATCATTCTGTTCTTGTTACAAAAGTTTGGTACATCTCGAGTGAGCTTCCTTTTTTCCCCCATCATGGGTGCATGGACTTTGTGTACCCCACTTGTAGGAATTTATAGCATCATACATCATTATCCAAGCATATTTAAGGCAATATCACCACACTATGTCTTCCGTTTCTTTTGGAGAAATGGAAGGGAAGGCTGGCTGTTGCTTGGTGGCACTGTCCTTTGCATCACAGGTGAGTATCATGTTGATATCATGATTATTTAGTATGAGAGATTGACTTGATTACGTTTGAATCATATGCTCTTAGATATTAGGAAGTCTCAAGTCCAGCCACACAAAACGAAACCGGACTAATTGAATTCATAGCATGGTGAAATTAATAATGAAAATAGTATTTTTCCGTACCTTGTAGTTCAGAAATGATTATTTAATCCGTGTTCCCTGTTTTATTCAGGTTCCGAAGCATTGTTTGCAGATCTTGGCCATTTCAACCGAAGCTCCATTCAGGTTTACCTCCAATACCATCTCTCTGTCTTTAAGGTTCCCATATTTTTTTCTTGTTTTAACTGGCCTTTCTGATGTGTTTTCCTCAACAGATAGCTTTCTTGTTTACAATCTATCCATCTCTGGTTCTGACATATGCGGGGCAGACAGCATACCTGATCAGGAATCCAAATGATCATGATGATGGATTCTATAAGTTTATACCAAAAACGATCTACTGGCCTATCTTTATCATAGCCACATTGGCTGCAACAGTTGCAAGCCAATCTCTAATATCAGCCACGTTTTCTGTCATCAAGCAATCTGTAGTACTTGATTATTTCCCTCGGGTGAAGGTTGTGCACACATCCAATAGCAAAGAAGGCGAGGTTTACTCCCCTGAAGTCAACTACATCCTCATGATTCTCTGTGTTGTTGTCATACTTATTTTTGGGGATGGAAAAGACATTGGCAACGCATTTGGTATGTTAAACTTGAAACCGTGCATATTGATATTGATTTGCCTTCAAGAGTCGCAGATTATGTTTACCAATTTATTAACATTTTGGTCAACATGTTACAGACGTATTTTTTTCATTTTCTGATTATTGCGACAACCTTGTTTCAGGTGTTGTTGTCAGTCTAGTCATGCTCATCACCACAATATTACTGACACTGGTAATGATCATAATATGGAGAACACCACCTATGCTGGTTGCTCTTTACTTCTGTGTATTCTTTGTCATGGAAGGTGTTTACGTGAGTGCAGTCTTCACTAAGATCCCTGAAGGTGGATGGATTCCTTTTGCCATATCCTTTATCCTTGCCCTCATTATGTTTGGTTGGTTTTATGGGAGACAGAGAAAATTAGAATATGAGTTGACTCATAAGATAACCTTAGACAGACTTGGTGTGCTATTATCTGACCCTAGTGTTCAAAGGGTTCCTGGATTGTGCTTCTTTTACACCAACTTTCAAGATGGCCTCACTCCGACTCTTGGACACTACATTAAAAACATGAAATCCCTTCACCAGGTCACTATGTTCACTACTCTTCGATACCTATTGGTTCCTAAGGTTGCTCCTCATGAGAGGATTGTCGTAAAAAAACTTGGCCTCAAGGGGGTTTATGGGTGTGTTATTCAGTATGGCTATGCAGATCCCCTAAACCTTGAAGGAGATGATTTTGTTAGTCAAGTTACAAATAGCTTGCAGGCACATATACAAAACTGCTCAGGCCGTCTTCCATCCAATCCTTCAGAGATCCAAGAAGAGATATCTTATTTGGAAGAAGCAAGGAGTGCAGGTGTAGTTCATGTTAGAGGAAAGACAAGGTTTTATATTGGCCATAACTGTGGCTGGTTTGATAGAATTATGCTGGCATTTTATGAAGTTCTGCACAGCAACTGTAGGTCGGCTCTGCCTGCTCTAGGGGTGCCTCCGCCTCAGCGGATTGAGGTCGGAATGCTTTATGAGGCTTGAAGGAAGGAAGGCTATATTTTGGTAGAATATTGAAATAAGATGCTACTTAGATTGGATAAAGTGTTTTTTTTTTTTTGGTCTGCGATGTGATAAAGTTCTTTCTCATGTAGAAGCAAAACTGTTAGGACACGTAAATAATTTTTTGTTTCAATTAAAAAAAGAAAGAGATCATTACAACAATTTTGAAGGCCCAAGTCGATTTTTATACTACTTGTTCATGCTCAGAAATAGAAACGATTTTGATAGAATAACAAGAGAAAGAAATTACAAATAGAAACATTTTCTCAAGATATCTTCCAAACTGTTGCGGTCGTTGCTCCGGATGTTGTTCCCCCGGTGTGAAACCAGTTGGTTCCGTAGTTTTGGTCCTTCCCAAAACCGCCCCTTTATGATTGGTCTCGGTTGGTGGAATGTGAGGTTGGGCCAAGTCGTCTCCCATATGATATAATAAATTAGAATCGTGGGACTTTTGGGATGTTCAATAATCAATTCAAGCTCAAGGAGCATGGCGGAAAGAGAGCCTACTTGGTGAATCAATTCTCACTATTACATCATCCTCACCACCTGATTCATCACTGGAATAATCTTCCACTACCACACGACTCTTTTGAGGGTCTCTACTTTGCTCCCCCAGTTCTGGAGGACTCATTTGTCCAGTGAATTTTCTCACTTCAAGGTTCTTTCTGACAGTTGTAGCCCCTTCGGATCTGACAGAAACAAGCGGACGGCCATGATATGATGGAACACTCGGATATGAGACATTATGTGGAGGGCCCTGATATGCTGGAATACTTGGATATGACACGGTGTGTAACGGCTTAATGCGACCACTTCTTGGAAAACTTCTGGTGTGCCGCGGGACATTCACCTTTGTGGAACAACATAAGAAAAGAAGTTAGTCAATAGGAAGAAGACCTAAATTGCCACCAAACATGACTTTCAAATATCAAATGTGCCTTCCAAAGAGAGAGGAAGCAAAATTAAAACAGTTTTGGATGATGACTATCTTAAAAGCTTTTGGATTGAACTGTTCTTTGGAAGATAGATAAACTGCCTGAACCAACAAAAAGATAAAAGAGCCTCAAAGGTTGTATAGGTTTCAAAATCCTATATACATATTAAAAAAACCATCATTATATCCCAAAGCACCAAAAAACATGATAAAGAAACTGAACATACCATGCTGCCATAAATGCTCCACTGCATTGCCCTTGCTGACAAGCTATTAGCTTGCAACTCAATCCCTTCAGGGTTCTTTTGTTGCTTTGCCTTCTTGAAATGTTCAGGCCAACTCACAAAACCACTATGTTCTCTGCTAAGAGATCTATGGGGGTGATCTGCATGAGATACAAATGATGGCCTTCTAATTAGAGTACTGTCGGAATCAAATGCTGCAATGTCGAATATAATCACTCTTGATCTTGTTTCAACAAGATAACTGGATCCTCGATGAGAAAAACTGGCTCCCTTGGTGCCTGTTATCATCAATCAGAAACAAAAGGGTTAAGGATCCTCTTGGGCATAACCAGCTATGATGATAAGAAACAACAATCCGATGATTAATGCAACTCAACCACACTACACAACATATTTCGGGCTTATGGCAAGGTCTGAACCATGCCGATGATTATTGCCAACACTACATGACATATAAACACAAGTTTATATTACCTGATGCTTCCAGATTTGGGAAGCTTTGGTAACCATGTGGGGGCAACAGAGGTGCAGGTGATGTGATCAGTTCTTCTTGGACACCTTGGGTTTTAACAAAACCTTCTAATAGAAACCCAATGGAATGGTAAGGAATTTCAAAAGATTCTCCACTTATGTAAATGGTCATCATTGACCCTTCTGCAACAAGAGCTCTCAAATCTTGCATTGACATTTTCTCAAATATTTGTGGAAGGAAAAGTTTCACAAGAGCAATGGCACTTTCCTAAAAATAAGTTGAACTAAATAAAATCAGTTACATCATAATAAATCCATAATATTTTCCAAAATTCATATCATCATATTCCAAAATTCCATGCATGTTTCACATGTAAAGGCCAAAGACAAAATTAATTCCATTGACCTTTTGTTTTAGAAGTTAATAACAATAAATACAGCCCTACAAGTTTTGGCAGCTGCAACAAGATGAAATTTTTAGTAAGAAAATACCTGCCAGAGGAAGTATTCTACTGAGGGATCTGACTGAAGCACTGAAAGTATCTTGTGAGTTTCAATGTAAAAGCAGAGAACCACAGTATCTGTGATCATGTCACAAATGTAGGGCTTTCCGGTTAGCACTTCATATAGTCCCAAAGTACTCCCATGAGTAAAAGTTGGATGCAGCGAGTGCTTGTTTTTTATGCTCTTACTTATCCACTGCCAAAAATAATTCTCATCCATGATATTGTCCATGAGGAAATAAAGAAAATGTTTCGCCTGAAAGTTTTAATTACCTTGACTACCCCAGTGGAAAGAAGCCAAATACCAGTAGGCTTGGAGCCCTCCCTGTAAAGTGTCACCCCACGCAATTTCATTGTTTCCTTAGTAGAACCTTCAAGTGGTTCACGAACTGAAGGAGGAAGAGCCCCCATTAGAGGATGGAGACTAATCAAATCATTTATTTTGGGAATCTTTACTAACGGGGGATTCCTTAGAAGCTTTTTCAAGTCAGTCTGCATGGAAATAAAAAAAAAAAGATTCTAATATCATGAAAGAGTGATGCACAAACTAAATAATTATAAAGGACAAACAGTCACCAACAGACCTGGACGGCATCATGAAGATGAAGCATCTCTTTTTCTTCCAAGAGGCCAACCTTCTCAAGGTTTTGGAGATAATCAATTAAATGGTTTAGAACAGAGTACGTCACTTGTCTTGTTTTCACAACACGCAAAACCTGAAAATTCCAAATGCGTTCATACGTACAAGACAATCTCATGCTAAAATAATCTTCCTAAGCAAGGATACAGTGAGAAAAGTTTTAACCGTATGTATGGTAGGTTCAACGGACTTTGGATAAAACAACTCCAACTAGAATCCAGCACAACTTATCATCATAGCACACCATATGGAAACTTAACTAACAAACCTGAGGAAATGTGACACGAACATCTTCCAGAAACTTTTTTGCTTCTTCTCCTTCTGCCTCACTTTCATTAATGACGATAGAAGCAACTTCACTATCACCTAAATAAATCAGCAGATGTAGAATAATTATATATTTTTCAAAATTTAGGGTTACCACAATAACCAAAACAATTCCTACGTGACAAGGGCAAATATCATGAAGAAAAGCATGTAGGGTAGAAAGTAAATTTCCTTTCCAAAATAGCCAAAACAATTACCAAAAAAGGTATTAACTAGTAAGGAAGACTATCACCTATAAAGTCATGAAGTTGCTGCCTTGCAATTCTATGGGCACGAAGAAAGGAAGCACAAATGTAACATGCAGATTCCAGCCTTTGAACAGTGAAATAGGTTACCAACTTCTGTGGGCAAATGCTTGTTTTATGGAACTTGTAGTAATTCGGGAAATGACCATGAGCTTTTAAACCTTTCCAGTCACACAGAGGCTCATCTGAAACCAAGTCAATTGCTTCGTCTACTGATTGCATCAAAATATTTGCAGTAGATTGTGTAATCCTTCCCTCATCAAGCATGCTCCAGTAAGCAGCTTGTACTCCTAAGACAAGAAATGGTTTTGTATTAGCAAATGAGGTCACAGTTAGACATAGCTACCTTTAATTTTCACACCATGGCTGGATCTATGGGAAGTTATGCATCAAAATGATCTCAAGGAGTTTCTTTCCAGGAAACAAGCGTCTTTAAGCATTTTAGTTGTATGTTTACAGAAATCTACGAAATATAAATGCCTAAGCTTGTAAGCACAGCACATAAGTGTAGAAAGAAATAAGTACTGGGACTGAAATATAAACACTAACAAATTTACCATTCAAAAGACGTTCGCGTATATCCTTCAAATTTGTAAGATCCTGATTATTATCTCTTTCAGATGCAGCATGAGGGTGTACATGTTCGCTATCAACATTATTTAAGCTTGCAATATATCCCTTCACTGTGGGCCAGTCAGCCGGTCCCAATTCCTCATCATCTCCAAGACCACCAAAAGCCTCTAATGCTTTGTTCAACATTTCATATTTTGTATACTCCAGTACACGCCTCTATTATAAAACAAAAGTATATACATATAAATTCATAAAAGGAATGCCTTTCTGGAGCCATTAATAAAAAATGTGCTTTATTTGGTTCTTGTGAAATATATAGAATTCAAAGTATAACAGATTCACCAATAAAGAATAAAAGTTCTTTAAATTTAATGTAAACTTGAATAAAATACTATAAAATATAAATCTGAGCACCCTAAATCAAAACGTTCACATCATCTCGATTGTTGGACCTTGACTATCTCAACTCAAGAGAATACAAGGATCAATTTTAGGTCACTGACATACTGGATCCTTACCAATAATGTTCAACACCTAACATCACTAACCTACTGCTATGCTAATCCACCTATAGATCTTGTTGTGCAGTCAATACTATAATATGTTTTGGAGTTCTCAGATTGTATCCACCAATCCCAGTGTTGGGAAAAGTGCCCAAAGATAGACCACCTGTAACTAAGCTTGAAAATTACAATGTACTTTCATATGGGTTTAGAGCTGCATGACATAAATATTGAGCAATTATTTAAAAATTATAATCCCAAAACAAAGAAAGGGAGACATAAAGCCGTACAGGGAGAATGCAGCATATAATTTGAGGGACAGTTAAATCCTCACCTTAGCTGCTGATAGCTTGTCCATATCTAGAAGGCGTAAAACAAATTGTGTGGTTGAACCATTCACAATTAGTGTCAGGAAGACGATTCCACCAGTGAAGAAAACAAACTGCAGAGGTGAAAACAATTCTATGTCAATGTATAAAAAAAACCAGCTTTAATAATCATATAAAAAAATGTCTCTGAATGGGTGTGCGTTCATGTTCCGTAGGCGTACCAAGAATCCTGTGTCAGAACTGAGAAGCGAAGAGCTGTCACTTGTACGCTACAAGAATAAAGGAAAATAAATTAGAAGCAATACAAATCATCAGCATTCAAAGAGAAAAATGGGAAAAAAATTGTATAACATATAAAATAAAAACTGGTTCCTTTTGTTAGATTATGCACTAAAAACTAATGGAATTGCACAGACTACACAATCACTGAATGTTTGACACAGCAAATCAGGTGAGTAGATGTGTGAATGAAATATTTCCTCAGCAAAAGCATCAATAATGAGGTTTTGCAAAGTCCTTGTTGTTTCATTGAGAACGTTTTGTAATGCACCATCCAACTTAAAAGTAAACAACTAGTGAAACTAAGAACACAGTAGAGATTTTTAACCACAGGGTGCTAATGAAATTTGGCCATACCAACAAGGTAAAGTTAATTTTCCCTTTGTATAAAATTAAATCTTAATTAACGACAGCTTGCCTTGACTGACAGTGAAAGTGACAATGCTACAGCCCCTCTCAGACCTGACCATATAAGGATTATAGCCTCTTTCCAATCCAAACCATAGCCGAAATACCGAAGCAAGGGAAACGACACTCCAACAACTATGAACCGGGAAACTTGTACGTAAACATAGAGAAGAATGAGATAGGCCCAAGAATATCCTGAAACAAAAACATTTAGAGTTACAGAGAGTTGATAATAATAAATACCTAGTCATACTGTGTAAGCATTAGTAGTATGGAACTGTCTTTTTCCTAAGTTACAGAGAGATAAAAAGCTTAACATATAGTCAACTAAAAAGTTAACCACCCAAATTTTTTTATTTCCCTTCATTCCTATGGTAGGGAACCTATATTGAAGGATAAGACTATAGTACAGGAAACAGGTAGACAAGTTGAAAAAATATCTATCAGAACATGACATAAAAACTAAATATTTAAAAAGTCAAGCAGCAAAGTTAAAAGAGCTAAGTGTGCAGAATATCAAAGAAATAATGCAGGAAACAACAAAAATATGCAAAAATGCAAAGATCAACCATCCTGTGTATTTTCGCAGAGTCCACACCTGATTGGCCCTATATTGCGCATCCATCTCTGTGCAATTATGACCAAGCATGTACATAAATTTATGCATGCAAAAATGAATAAACAAATGCATATCTGTATTTCAAAAAGAAAGGATTACCATTTTCAAGAAAATTTTCACCGCTAAGAACTCCTTCAGCTATAACAACTCCACTGAAAAGCATAGGAGAAAATATGTGTTTTTACATATGTAGCTCATGATCAAGCACATGGTACCAAACAAGTGCTAAAAGTTAGTTATGCTGATTTCCTTTTATTATTGGCACCAAACAAAATGGAATTTAAGAGCGTTGGATTATGCACTTACCTTAAGATGAAAATTAAGGTATTAGCAATATAAGCAACCATTTCCCTGCGAAAAGATGCCTAAAGCATGAGCACATAACATTTTATAAAGAGTAGATTCAAGGAGACATTTTAGAGCTCGCATTTTCTTTATGGACCTTATATATCTCTACCAAGTTCCACTAGCATGCCATAAATCACTGACAGGTATACTCCAATAAATGTCTAAATTAGTTATTGACATACTTAGGACAATAGACAATGTATCCCTAATTCACATATTTCTTGTATCTTTCTGTTCGAGAGAGTAAAAACAACAAAGATGAATCAACTCATCACTTGGAACTTTATTTAATCAAACAGACTGCTCTAGATCAAAGTGATAGCGAGCGACAACCACAAGACATACCAGAAATGATGTAAGCTTTGTTGGCTTTCACTCTTAAAAGCTGTCCTCGCAAACCCAGCATAAAACCTGTCCACAGATTATAATATTAAGACAAATGTATTCTCCAGTGTGCAATGAAATCTTATTGAGCATTCCAGCTTACATTCCTAAAGTCATCACCGTCAAGACACCAGACACTTCAACACCCTCTTGAGCCTGTTGCACCCAAATAAAAACTTCAGTTTTTCCATAAACAAAACATGCATTTTTTTTCTTTCTAGATATGTGAAATGCATTATAAATTCAGAAATATGTTTACTGTAAAAACATCAACCTTCTTTATGCTTCAAAGAATCCATGTGAAACATAGTTTATAGTTGACAGGTTGCAATGGTTATTTTGAAAATTTTATACATCGGAAAGGCACAAAAACATCAAAAAATAAAAAAAGACATAAATTTGGAAAGGATCATACATAAAAGTAGTCAACTATAGCATTTGTATGACAGGTTTCAATAGTAAGAATTTAGCACGAAATTCATATGAATATACTGACATACCAACCAGAACTTAGGAATAATAATCATATGAACCTAAAAAATGAGGCATCCCCATTTTTTGAACATACAGTGAAGTAAGCAACGTAGCTGACAGCAAGTGTTAGTGTGATCTCTATCACAGTGTCATTGAAAATGAACCCGAGCCAGAGGACAGATACTATACCATAAGCAAGACCAATGCCTACACTGGACGAATAAAAGCGTTATATAACCAGAAGAAATCTGCCATCTTTGCTCAAAGAAATATGTGAGACATACGCTCCAAGTGAGACTTGAGATAGAAATTTAATTATTTCAGCCCAGTCATAGCTTTTTCCAAGAACCATTTGATAAAATAGCTGATAAACCACAATTGCTGTCCTGGACGAAGTTAAACACATTCAGATAAGAGAAAATATGAAAAGCATAATTACTCAAGATTGTAAGTAACAACAACAGCAACCACCCATGGGTTTTACCTACACAAAATATTGAAGAGTAGAGAAAAGAGATTATCTGACTAGAAATAGTGTTAGGTCACTGAAAATCTATACCCATCATTCATCAAGGATTCTCCCTCAATTATTGTACTCAGTTTTTTGCTTGCACCAAGCTCTTTTAATAGTGCAACGACAGCCACAGGATCAGTAGCGCTGAGAAGCCCGCCAAGCAACAATGATGTTTTCCAACTCCAGCCATAAGGGAAAGTGAGCTGCAGTTGTATATCACAATATAATTAAATAGCACAAACATATAGTTTAATTAACAAAGTGTAGGATACCTTCAAAGCAGATCCAAGACAGAAAGTTGATATTAGAACACCCGGACCAGCCAGTATAATCATTTGTACCATACACCTCTGCATGAAAAATGGAAAAATCTGCCAGTTCATTTCATGTCTGACACAATTTCAAATTGAACAGTGACTTTGCACGAAACTACAAGCTAGAATTGCACCAAAAGAAAGTTCGTTCTTCTTATTTGTATAGATGTGTCTCAAACTGTCATTGATTGTGTGAAGCCATAACCACAGAATTGTGAAGTTGGTTTTGAAAAATGCATAGCAGCCTTATAATTTACGTGCATTTCACAAATAGAAATTATAGGACCACGAAAAGGAACCTTTATTTGGTGCACTTCCATAGAAAACGAACTCTCAAAAAGAAGGGCGGGAAGAAAAACAGCCAATAGAAGGTCAGGATCAATATTTGCCCCTGCACAATAAGAGGAACAGTAAAACTGTTTATAAGAGGTGGAAGAAAGAAACCAGTCCAAGTCAAAGCCTATAATAGGCGTTGCAGTACTATGTCAGCAGAAAAGATGTAGCTGGAACTTACAAATTCGAATGCCTTCTCCAATCTTCCCCATTTGATGATGTGTACCATATTCTGCACGTTTATGGATCGTTAATTAAATTGGAACAAACAATTTAACAACAGATAAAACCAGTTGCAATGCCTAGAATTTTCACCAAAGCAACTCCCAGTGATTTTTTTTTTACAACATAACTAAGGACACAAGCGAGAGTATCCACCATCTGATATGGGCAGACAAAGAATAAAGTAATTTTCTGTCCCATAAAGAATTCATTCGATTATTCGTTATATTCCATCATTTCTATTACTTTTTTTTTCCAGAAGGCCACTATTATTCCTACAAGTAAGAAAAAACTCAAAAATAAAAACAAAATGCTCTTAAATTTATTTATTTATTTGTCAATAATCAAAGCACTGAAACCAGCAAAGCTGAAAATTTAACAACTTAGTCGGAAAATTGAAATGATATTCTGCATGCTAATGCTATAATATTAAAGTGCCAGGAAATAAAATGTAAATGAAGAGAGAGAGAGAGAGAGAGAGAGAGGAGAGAGAGAGAGAGAGAGAGAGAGACCTATGGAACCGAGGGCAATGCCAAGGATGAGCAAAGCCACAGTGTAGGGTACTCTGGTACCACGCAACAGATGCCTGCAAGCGATTCCTAACACCAAACACAGCCCCACGAATGCCACTGCGTCCGTTGGATCCGATGTCGTTGATGATGAGCTATCTTTTTCTTCCTCTGCCCCCAATATTCTGTACGGTAACTGCCATTCTGTCACCGTCGCCATTTCTCAAATTTAATTTCAATTTCGACTGAAGCAGCTTTCACTTCTGATTAAGCAGCAGACCAGTGAGCTGCTGTTGTTGCCAATCACACACCAATAAGAAAACAGAACTGTTTATAGTTGTGTGAGCTCAGCTCAGGTGCTCCCCTCTGATAACAGAGAGAGAGAAAAGAGAGTTGAAGAAGAAAGAGTATTTTAGAGAGATTTGTAAATTGATCTTTCATTATGACTGATTACAATAATGACTGTTATATATAGAGTTAATGTTGACGTGGATTGTGGACGGTTGATTTTCCCATTATAATTATGGACAAACTATAATAAATCCCTCAACCTATAGGGTTATTTACGAGTTTATACTCGATTTTGGGGACATTTACGAGTACATACTCAACGTCGTGAAAAACCTACAATTTGCCCCTTTTGATTGCGAGATTGTCAGAAAATCCGTTATCTGCCTATATAACATTTGTGGGACCCATTTTTTAATTGACGTGGGGGTTCCACGTGGACAAAAAATAATAAACTATTATACAAAACAAGTAAAATTATATTAAATAATTAATTTTCATTTAAAATCAAAAGAAAAAGAAAATTAATTTTCTCTCTTTCTGTGAAAGAATGCAAGAACATGAAGGAAATTTCCCAAGCTCAACTTGCGACTCTATCTGCGCCGCTTAACTCGCGAGGCTCTGTCGTAGCGAACCCATCATCCACAACTTCATCCGGCAATGGTAGAGTCGATGTCGCTCGTAGGCTATTCCGCTTCTGTTGTTGCCTCTCTCAGATTGATTGTCCCCGGTATGTAGCACACGACACCGTCCACTCCCTTAGACCTAGAAATCTTCAATCTGCAAAACCAAGGTGGTTGGGTCTTCGCAACACGCCACGGGGAATGTTCTCAAGACCTCGCGAGCTCGTTGTCGTTCTTCAGATCTCGTCGGAGCTAGAACAATATTAGGATCTACAAAATGAGTTTAAATTTGAGGAATTATCTACGTTTTTGTGTTCTGATAGCTAGAACAATACATTTGGGGAAGTATTTGCATCGTTTGTTATTGGTGAAGTATCTGCCTTTTTGGGCTCTATTCTTTTTCAAGTTTATGTTTGTTTGAACTTTATCATTTGGTTCCAAAAATTAATCTTGTTTCTGAGTTTATCAGTTTACCTAGAAACTGTTAATTAATCATGATGAATTATTTGCAAAAATTAATCTTGTTTCAAATGTGATAATTTGGAAATCAACCTATCACAGTACTTTACCAATATTCTTATTTTTCAAGTTTCTTCATGATTTGCATTTCCTAATGTTGTTTTAAAATGGGTTTAAATTTGAGGAGAAGAAGGATGAGCTTTCTAGAGAAGTTGGGGTGGGTTGAGAGAGAGAGAGAGAGAGAGAGAGAGAGAGAGAGAGAGAGAGAGAGAGAGTTGGGCTTGGAGGTGGGTGACGGAAAAGGGGTGGCTGAGAGGTGGGGTTGAGTCGGGTGGGAGAGAGGGTTGGCTATGTAGGTGGAGAGAGGAGATTTTTTTTTCTTTTCATTTTTTAATGATTTTAATATGATTTAAAATTTATTTTTAACATGTATATAATTATTTATTATTTATTTGTCCACCTGTAGTCCACCTCATTAAAAAATGGAACCTACATTCGCTACTTCAGCATTTAAAAGATTCACTAACGGTTTGGCTAACAGAGGGGGCAAATTGTAGGTTTTCCGTGACGTTGAGTATGTACTCGTAAATGTCCCCAAAATCGAGTATGAACTCGTAAATGACCCTATTTGATTTACTTTAATTCCTGATTTTCTATTGTAAATAGAATAAGGAATTTATTATTTACTTACCCATTAAAGTTTCATTGTATTATAAATATGACCTCATACAAATAGAAGAATATATAGAAAATTCTCATAAACAAATATTCTCATATTAGATTTCATATTTTAGCATGGTATCAAAGCGGCGATCTTGAAATTGCTGACTCTAGTTTCAAACCCCCATTGTCACTATAGGGGTTGATAATTTTTTCAACCCTCATGCAGGTAATACCACCGACTCCTTCTCTTATTCTCAACCAACCATAGCTGAGTTGTGTGCCCAGGTGGCTCAGCTCCTACAGATGCAGACTTTGACCCTGAATCAGGATCCTATTTTGATAACCTCGAACCTGATCCTAAATCAGGATCCTATTTTGAAGACCCCGACCTCGACTCCGATGATGACCTTAACCCCAACTCCGATGATGACCCCGACCTCAAATTTGTCCCTGATTCAGACCAGATCTCGACTTCGGCTCTGACTTCGGCCCCGACTCAGGCTCAAATTTTGATCTGAATTCCTACTAAACCTGTATCATATACATCTTCCACTGCATAGATTATCCCTTCCCAACAAACGACCCCGAAAAATAGACGAGATTGCGCATATTGTGGTGATCGGCGACACACTCGTGAGACTTGTTTTAAATTGCATGGCTACCCTGAATGGTGGGCACCTCTCAAAGATAGAACACAACGCGATGTGACCAGTAATGGTACTAGTTATGGATTCCATACTTTGGATAAGATTGATTAGAGGAGTTGGATAATTGATTCCGGTGCCATTGATCATATGACGTTTGATATGATAATTTTCTAAATACTACACAACCCCGACGAACTTGTATTGCTAATGCTAATGGAGTTACTTATCCTGTGATATGGGCTGACACTGTTGCACTCTCATCCTCTCTCTCACTATCTAATATTTTACTTATTTCATTTTTATCTAATAAATTGATGTATGTTAGTCAGCTTATTGAACAATTGAATTATTGTGTATTCATTTACCCAAGTTTTTGTTTGCTTTAGGATATTCACACTAAGGAGATTCTTGTCGTGGTACTAAGAGAAGAAGGCTATATTATGTAGATGACTTCAGTCCCGAAATAGTTAACAGTGTGATGCACCCCTCTAATAGCAAACAAAAGCAAATCTGGTTGTGGCACCATCGATTGGGATATCTATCTTTTAGTTATATGAAGCATCTTATACTAGATTTATTCTTAGGTTTCAAGGACTTTGACTTCACATGTGACACTTGTATTTTGGCCAAGAGTCACTGTATACTCTATCCGTTGAGTACGAACAAGTGTACTACTCCGTTCACATTAATTTACTATGATATCTGGGGATCTTCACCTATCATTACTCCTTCTGGTGTTCGGTGGTTTGCACATTCGTAGATGATTATACACGGATGACATGACTTTATTTGCTGAAAAATAAAAGCGAAGTATTTTCCTATTTTCAGTTCTTCCACAAACAGATGAAAACTCAGTTCAAAGCTCAAATACAGATTCTTCGCTCAGACAATGGTGGAGAATTTGTCAATCATGACTTTCAGACTTATTTCCAACAACATGGAATTATATCCATGAGACGACTTGTCCTCAAACACCACAATTAAATGGTGTTGTTGAACGAAAGAATCGACATCTTCTTGAAATTGCTCAAGCACTTCTGATTGACGCTCATGTTCCTCACCATCACTAGGATGATGCTATTGTCACCGCAGGTCACCTGATCAACCACATGCCTTTTAGTGTATTGACCTTTAAAACTCCCTTACAAATGCTTACGCAGCATGGGCTCCTGCCCTCTGTTTTGTTACTTACACCCTGAATCTTTGGATGTGTGGTTTTCGTTTATCTCCATAAAAATCAACGTAGCAAACTTGATTCCTGTGCGCTTTGTTGTGTTTTTGTGGAGTATGCCACTCATCAGAAAGGCTACCACCGTTATCACTCTTGTACCCGACGTACTTATGTCACTTTAGATGTGACCTTTCTGGAATCTAAGCTGTTCTTCCATAACCCATCATCCAATTCTACTTTTTAGAGAGAGATACGAAGTGAATAGCAGAATTGGAGTTACTTGGAAAACGAAGAAACTCTCCCCAGTACAGAAATGATCAATAATCCCGAGTCTGGAGCACGAGATTACTCTTTGTCAAAAAGTGATCAATTGCCCATTCATAGCTATCAATCGCCTAACCCACCTGATCCCTGCGAAGATGTTTCTGATCCGAGTTCCACACCTACAGACAATACAAAACAATAAGATGAATACCCTCATCTAACTCAACAGTATCAATAGACCAATCTCCTAAGAATATCCTTGAGGTAACTACTTCTACTATAGTTGTGAATTTATAGGATAAATCTATTGGATACCAATTACATTTCAGACAAAATTGTGGAAAGCCACCAAATCGTTATTCACCTTATATTGGCAAGACATCAAAGTATCCAATTACGAATCATGTATCCACCGAGAAGCTGTTTGAACCACTCAAGGCCTTTGTGCATTAGTTGTCTGCTATTCATATTCCAACTAAGATTGCTGAAGCATTTAAAGATTCTAAGTGGGTTCAAGCTATAAAGGAAGAGATGAAAGCTCTTAAGAAGAATCAGACTTAGACATTGGAAAATTTACCACAAGGAAAAAAGACTGTCGGATGTAGATAAGAGTTTACCATAAAACACAACACTGATGGATCTATTGAGTGATACAAGGCAAGACTTGTGGCGAAAGGGTACACACAGACTTATGGTGCAAATTATGAAGAAACTTTGCACCAATTGCAAAATTGAACACAGTCAAAGTCTTACTGTCCATCGCAGCTAATTTGGACTGGTCATTACACCAGTTTGATGTAAAAAATATCTTTCTACATGGAGAACTCACAGAGGAGGTGTATATGGATATTCCTCCTAGATATAATACTACTAAGACTTGAATAATATACAAATTACGAAAGACGTTGTATGGACTGAAACATTCACCACGTGTATGGTTTGGATGGTTTACCATGGCAATGAAGAACAATGGTTTCAGACAGAGTAACTCATATCATATTTTGCTCTTGAAACATCAGAAAGGGAAGGTAACCGTTTTAATAATCTATGTTGATGACATGATTATTACTGGGAATGATTAACATGAAATATCTAAGCTACAAGACTATTTGGCTACTGAATTTGAAATGAAGAATCTAGGTGGACTCAAATATTTCTTGAGGATTGAGGTGGCATGATCATAACAAGGCATATTTCTATCTCAAAGGAAATATATATTGGACTTATTGACAGACACATGAATGCTAGATTGCAAACTTGTAGACACTCCTATTGTTCATAATCATCATCTTGAAGAATACTCGGATCAAGTTCCAACTAATAAAGAAAGATACCAAAGATTAGTGGGAAAATTGATATACTTGTCTCATACTAGGCTAGACATTGCTAATGCGGTAAGTGTCGTCAGTCAATTTATGCATTCTCTGAGTGAAGACCACATGAATACATTTATTCAGATACTTATACTTAGAAAATGACTTATGTTCTCAAAACATGGTCATTTGAATATTGATAGTTACACAAATGCAAATTGGGCATGAAGTATAACAGATAGGAAATCCACATTTGGTTACTTCACATTCGTGTGAGGTAATTTAGTTACATGGAGAATCAAGAAACAAAAGGTGGTCGCCTTATCCAGTGCAGAAGCCGAGTTCAGAGGTATGACCAAAAGAATTTGCGAACTCATTTGGTTAAAAAGGTTGCTTACAACTTGGATATAGACCTACATCTTCAATGAATCTCTTTTGTGACAACAAGGCTGCAATAACTATTGCACAGAATCCAGTTCAACATGATCGCACGAAACATGTTGAGGTAGATCAACACTATATCAAACAGAAGCTCAAAGCTAAAGTGATTCAATTTCCTTTCGTAAAGTCCGATGATCAATTGGCGGATATTTTGACAAATACAATTTCCAATAAAACGTTTCATAGTTCACTGGACCAGTTAGGCATTGTCAACATCTATACACCAATATGAGGGGGAATGTTGGTGTGACTTGTGGACTATTGACTTTCTTTCCTTCCACACCAAGGATTCCCATTATAATTATATTTGATTTACTTTAATTCCTAATTTCCTATTGTAAATAGAAATATGAATTTATTATTTACTTGCCCATTAAAGTTCCGTTGTATTATAAATATAACCTCATACAAGGAGAAGAACACACAGAAAATTTCCACAAACAAATATTCTCATATTAGGTTTCATATTTTAGCAATTAATCCTAGACTGCTAACTATCTAATTAACATCATGTGGTGTCACATGCTTTGACACTAACTAACTCCTCACTATTATTACAGTTATCACCCTCCCCCTCCTGCTTTATGTGCTGTTAAAAAATGATCAAAGTGAAGTGCGCAATGTGACTGTACTTTTGCTTTCTTTAATGAATCCGCGATTTTATCAATATATATGCACACATGTCAAACTGTGATTGTCAGCATGTTAAACTATGATTGTCAAGAAAGGAGACAAGTATTTTCCCACTAAAATAGCTTTCTTTGTGTCTTTCATTAGAGTTAGGGATATCATATATAATTTTTATTTGTTCTTACTTGGCTTTACAATGAATCATTTACCTTTTTCGCAGCTAGTTGTGGTTTATGCGAACACCACAATGAAGAAGATAAATTCCTTGTGTTCTGAACGTAGAAGGTGGAATATGCCATACACCGTTGCCTCTAGTGGGTTTAATTTCAATCCCATTGTTGCTTAAAAAAATTACTGTTTGCAGCTTGTAATTTCAACTCAAAACCTTGACAATATAGATTTGGATCTACTGGAGATAACGACAGCATATATAATATGTTAATTAAACAGAGCACGAGGATGAGATTAAGACTTAACAAATAATCAAATAAGTAAAAAACAATAAAAGATTACGTTAACAAATAATTAAAGGTAGTATTATGTTAGGGTAGGTGATGACTTTCATAACATAAATTTGTTCGTTTTTGTATGTATATACTATATAATAATAATATAGTTGATCTTAGCCTGAAGACATTAATTTAATTGTAAAATCATCGATGCATGTGGCCATATGTAAATTTTTGTACAGTTAGACTCTTCATCATTTGTAAAAATAATTAAAAAAGGAAAAAGGATAATATGTCCTAGGGTTCTTGCGAACTTTCCCTTCTCCTTTTCAACTCACTTACACTTACCCGACAACTAACACTTATATCTTTAGCATAAATTCATGCTGAGGAGATAAGCTGTGGTTATCGGGTAAGTGGGTTGAAAATGGGAATGGGAGGTTTGCTAAAAATTAAAAACGGAAAAAGGAGAACATGTCCAATGGTTCTTGCAGCAGTATGTGATGGGGATATAAGCGGTGGGTACACAAGGAGAATATGTGATGGGGTAGATAAGTGGTGGGGTTGGATAAGTCGGTTGGAAAGGAGGAGAAGGTGGTTTGC